TTAATATACTTTAAGCAGTAAAAAAAATTAATAAAAAATAATAAATATTTTTAATAACCTTTAAAAATATAAAAAAAATAATATTTATTTATTTTATTAGCACTAGCAATAACTAATTTAAATAAAGACTTGTAATATATAGTTTTAAAATAAATTAATTTTAAAATTTTATCTAATATAATAAAGTTAGTTAAAAAAACTAAAAACTACTTGTAAAAAAACTAAAAAATAACTATATTTACTAAATAAAGGATATATTATTTATACTAAGATTTATAAAAGTCTTAAAAATAAAACCAACAGAAGGGGAGTATTATATTATAACCTGCCTCTTATAGTTATAATAATAAGCCTATAGGGTAAGCTAAACTAGATTAATATAAGACTGACTTATTAATTATAACAGGATTATTAAATTATTATAATAATTTAATAATCCCTAAATAAATTATTAATTTTATAAAATAATCTATAATAAATTATTAAAATCTATAAATAATCTAGCTTAATTAACTAAATATATAAGTTTACTTCTTATACTTATTTAAATAACTTAAATAGCTAGTTATTAATATAATTTTATACTATAGATTAAAAAGTACTTTTAATCCCTACTAATAACTATTATTATAATATTATTGCCTATAGGTTTCTTAACCTATTTGCTAATATAAACCTAAAGAACTTATTCTAGGTTTATCCTTTAGGAATCTACCCTATACTAACTATCTAGTATATAGTTTATTATAATATTATTTATAGCTATATTTAAATATAAAGTATATTTTATTAATTTTTTATAACTTAGCCTAGCAGCCTTTAAGATTAAAGATTTAAAGCTATAGATTTAATATAATTATTTTAAATACTTAAGTAAAGAAGAAATTAAGTAATTTATAGAAATATCTATTAAAATAAAATCTATTATCTTAAGTAAAATATATAAATTATATACCTAAAGAAAATAAAAAAAATAATTATATACTAGCTTAATTAAAAAAAGAATAAAATTATTTAAAAGCTTTTATATTAATATTATAAAATTATTCTTTATATATAAATATAATAATAGCTAATATTAAATAGCTTTTTTAAATAATTATATATAAATAAGCTAGATATTTCTGCTTAAATAAAAGTTATAATTTTTTATTATTTTTAAGTAACTGCTTAATATATTAAAAATATTTATTTAATACTGCTAAAAGTTATAATTTAATTTTAAAAAAAAAATATATTACAACCTGCCTTTTATAGTTGCAATAATAGGCCTACAGGGTAGGCTAAACTGAATTAATATAGGACCAACCTACCAATTACAGCAGGATTATTAAATTATTATAATAATCTAATAATCCATAAATGGATTATTAATCTTATAAAATAATCTATAATAGATTATTAGAATCTATAAATAATCTAGCTTAATTAATTAAATATATAAGTTTGCTTTTTATGCTTATTTAAATAACTTAAATAACTAGTTATTAATATAGTTTTATATTATAAATTAAAAAGCACTTTTAATCTTTATTAATAATTATTATTATAATATTATTACCCTTAGGTTTTTTAATTTATTTACTAATATAAACTTAAAGAATTTATTTTAGGTTTATTCTTTAAAAATTTACCCTATATTAACTATTTAATATATAGTTTATTATATATTAATAACTCTTATTTAAATAATTACTAAACCTATAAGCAATAATAAAAAAATAGCAAGCAATAGTTAGCAAGGAATTACTTTTATATATAAAGAAACTTAAAAATAATATCTATTATTTACTTTAAAGTAAATAATAATTAACTTACTTTTTTTATAAATTAAAAAGCTAAAGGATTAATTAAAGAATAAAAAAAAGGAAAAAAAAGAAATTCTTAAGCTTAAGTAATTTAATAATTTTAATAAAGATACTTTAAAAATAAATAAATTCTTTATTAAATTAAATATTTATTTTAGCTATTTTTTAATTAATTTAAAAGATAATAAAAATTAAGTTTTCTTTATAGTTAACTGCCTTATAAAAACTGCTGCTAAATAGTTTAAGTCTATTTTAATAGATTATAATACTATAAAGAAAGAACCTGCTAAAATAAAAACTTAAATAAATAAAATCTTTAATAATTATAAAACCTTTAAAAATTAATTAAAAAAATCCTTTAGAATTATAAATAAAAAATAAAAAGTAAAAAAGGAACTTAAGTTTTTATAATAAAAAGAAGCTTTATTTAAATATACTACTACCTTTTTATACCTGTTTATTAAAGTTAACTAAATTAAAGAAATAAAAAAAGAAGTTTATTATAATAATATTAAATTTAAAGTTAAAGATAAGTTATTTAAAGAAAATTAAAGTAAAATTAAATTTATTAAATATACTTAAAAGGCTATTAATATTAATAACTATAACTTTAAGAAAAACTAAAAACATAAACTAAAAAAATATAGCTATTAATTAACCTTTTAGTAGAAATCTTAATATTATATAAATTAAAGTAAAAAATAAAAAGAATATATTATAAAAAATAATAAAACTTAACTAAAATAAATAAACTTTAATATTATTAAAGTAATTAAGTTTAAAAGAAAATATTATTTTTATAGTAATCTTAGCTATACTGCTACTGCTTCTGGAAACAGCAGCCTTCTTAATTAAGTATCGCGCTATTGCTGCTTTAGCTATAACCCCGCTTTTGTAACTTTTACTGTAAGTTACTCTAGCTAAAAAATATAAATACCTAAGCGCCTGTCTTTATCTCTTGCCAAGTATACTTAACTTCTTTACTCTTTTTTATCCTTCTACTCCTTCTACTGCTAGAATTCTTCTTTACTATCCCCCCCCCCCCCCCCCTCTCCCCTTTTTCTTTTTATCTATTGCTAAGTAAACTTCTATTCCCTTTTTTCATTTACTTTTACTCTTGCTAACTTAATATTTCCTCCTCCAGACTATACAATCTAACTATAAAATTTACTGTTTATTATATATCTTTAGCAACAGCTTTTGGTAATCTCTCAACAATAACTCTCTTTCTATCAACCAGCATGTTGCTTGTGAGCTTAAAACATCCTTGACTGTCTCAACCAGTCACAAAAATGCCTCAGATACTAAAAGTATTATCGCGCATGCACAAGGCAGACTTACCTCTGACCAATATAATACTAGTATTATAGGCATACTTTCGGACAAGCATGACTTACCCCTTAATGCTGCGGAATGATATTACGCCGCAAAATCATCGCGTGATACATGCATCGGCTGAGATCCGTCTCTCATTCGGACAAACTCCATCCAACCATGCAGCCTCTTCAGAGTAAGACCGGGTTCTCCTCTTGATATTAGTTGGTAAGACAGAGTCGCGTGGATGCAAGACCAGCGCATACTGCTGCCGCTCTATCCGAAGCTGAGACACCACGAACATTAGTGAATCCACTCGAAAAGCAATAGCTTATAAGCTGATACAGCGTCTTAACCCATTCTGTTGATGGGATTCGAGTTCAATTACGCAGACGCCGAGCACAATGACAAATCGTTGGGTGTCAACCAACAGTATTTTTCTAAAGGGGCTGTACCTCACCGTTATGGTTGCATTCAAGTGCTTCGGCAGATATGTGATTGGTAGAGAAAGAGTGATATGACGTTGCAGAGGAAAGTTCCGCTCTGTTGCCTGTTGTTCCAGACTGTGAGGAGGTCGCGAAGCCATAAAAAGCAATAGCATGCGAAGAAGTATTATTACCTTGTACTAATGCAAACAGAGCACCAGAATATAATATCAAGAGCGGCAGGTTTGCATATTTAAACCGTCCATCTGCCCTTTCTAAGGAAATATCAATTAGCAATATTCAGAAAACTCTCAATCAGCAACTACGCCAATCACTCTCTACACCGGCCACTCTTATTAAACATTTACCTGATATACGCTGGGATGTACTATGTCTGAGTATCGCTTTCAGTGGCAAGATCCCTTTACACCTGCACGCTTTGAAGATGCTCAACGAACAAAGCAACAGTATCTTTCTACGTGTAAGCAGCAGAAAACCTCATCATTATCCTCAAATAGCTTCTTAAATCATCCACTTATTATTTCTGGCGTGCCGTGCAAAGACGCAATAGTTTTATCTGATTCTGAGTCAGAGATAGAAGCTGTAGCTGTTGAAAGCAGAGAAGGCAGTAATTTCAATGACCAGGATTCCCATATGCTGCAGTACAACGAAATATCACCGTCAGTTAATGCAACCGCCGCATTCACAGCTCCAGCGCAGGCTGATAATATAAACAAAACCGGTAAGTGTTTGGACATTTCTTGCTCTATATGGGATCTGGCAGTAATGAATGTGCTTAGCGAAGCATGGTGCAGCATCTAATAGCGCTGATGAAGCCAGTTGTTTGCGCCAGCTAGATTTGTCAATAATAGGCCAGCCTAGCGAAGAGTCTACGATAGACACTATAGTCTCTATACCAAGGCTAGACAGATTTACAAAGCCTACATATAGCTTGCCCCAAGCAGACGAAGCAGATAAGGCAGACGAAGCAGAAGACGAAGACGAAGAATTGCAAAATCTTGAAAATATTAAAGATTGCATCAGCTATGTGCCGCTGGACAGCACTTCCACGCCGCTGGACAGCATTTCCTCCAAGCCGGAGGCCTACTCCTTCTTACACCTATCTCCAGATATCGTAAATGGAGTAGATGCTGAGGCAAGTGACAATGGAACTTCCCCTGTGGAGCCCAAATTGCCCACAATCGAGGTTACACAGAGAGTCGACGTTTTACATGTCGCCTCGACTCAAGATAGGAATGACTATAATCGCCTGGATCACAACAATAATAGCGCTAGCAACAAAGCCAGCGGTTATAACGACTACGGTAACAACAGCGATGACGGTGACGATGAAGATGACGAGAACGATGGCGCTATATCAGAGTATTGCCCATCCGTGACAACCACTGGCGAGCAGGAAAAGCACCATCTGGACGATAATACGGATGATGAAAATAAACAGTCACCACGCAAACGCCGTAAACACGAGCAGTCTCTGGATAAAAGTGGACTGTCTGACTGCGGGAGAGGGTCCCACTCGCCAGCTAGCACCAGACCATCAACACCAATAGCGGAAAATACGCCGACAAAAAACCTACCGAGCCCAACAGTGTCAAACTCTGCGGCTGCGATATTCGAGGAGTGTAATTTTTCAGATGGTACAATTGTAAAGCGCACTATTATTGATGGGACAGAGATTTTGCAAATTAAATGGCCTGGTGCCGAAGGGGAATGGCGGCACGAACGGCCTTACACAAATCAGAGTCATGTAAACGTCAATGCAAGCAATAAACAGGGCAAATCAGCTACAGAATTGGCTGATGGTCGAGCGAAACGAGCACCATACACAAGGGTTACATTTACCCCTGAAGAAGACAAGCTTCTCAAAGAATTGAGGATGGAAAAGCGGCTTTCGTGGGACGCTGTTTATAAACAGTTTAACGAAGTCTTTCCAGAACAGCGATCTCGTGCAAGTTTGCAGGTGCGCTTTTCTACAAGGTTAAAGGGTAAAAGGCGCGGGGTTAAAAGGTAAGAACTAAAAGCATGATTTTACTCTACATGGACCCTAAAATTTAGAGAATATTTTAGATGGCGATAGTGCAATGGCATTAATTTTTAACATTACTACTATTTATGATTTTCAACGTGTTTGCTGATTTGCCCTGCCCCAATGTCTCGTGGGCATAGATATCCAACCTTCTACAAGCCAACCGAACCGCTCGGCTCATGAGGCTGTATAAAATCCATGAATACCTACCAATTTTATGTTTTAGGCTAACGGGCCTATTAAAAGCTCTATCCATGTTCTCGGAGATCATGAGACCACTCTGTAGCCAATAACTAAAGTGGCACGTTACACTAAGCTATAGGTTTAGAATATCCCTTGCATGAGTCATTCTAGACTCATGAGACAGGGAATGTATGTTACTGGGCTTATGAGACTAGCAAAAGTTTGCATATTCTCAGAGGTCATGAGACGCTGTATATGCAGGCTAGGATAACATAGCCCTGCAGGTTCCATCCTTGACCCACTAGGCCAATTTAACTTACAAAAGCCTTGCATAAAAAAGCATGCGCCCCCTAGGCTAATATAAAGCATTATACACCTAGCAATATACTAAACACAAAAGGAATTGCAATTTATAAAGGAACCTTTATGTTTTTATATTACAATCAGTAACTATGCTCTACTATAAATACCGATTTGGTTGCCGGGCTAACAATGTACACTATCCCTTTTAAGGACTAGCACTGTCTTAAAAAATTTTTACACCATTTTATATTACCCCTCTCACAATCTTTTAAAACTGCATTAAAATTTCTAAAACTTCTTATTCCTATGGTACAAATTATATCTCTTGTGACCATAGAGGTCACTGAAAATGACCTTATTAAGCGATGCGAGAAAGAAGTAAAAAAGCTTATATTTTAACCTCGTAAAGAAAATATACTAACGTTCCTATAGGTGGGAAAGGAATGCTTAAGTCCTGAATGGAAGGATTATAAGGACGGCGATGAAGTTATACTTAGGGATAATACAGCAGCAATACTTGTTGAAGTCTCTGAAACATCAGCCCAAATTAGGTTTTACCACTACGGGTCTACTACTAAATTTTTAAAAACAGTAGCACCATATCAGTATAAATTACACACAGCTATTATACCGTGGGAACCAGGGTTAGGATTTGTTTGTTATGGAGAAGATGAGGATAGTAATGGTTTGAAGATATATAAGACGTGTAAAATAGGAATTGTTAAGGTTGCTTCTTAAATATAGTATGCCGAACTTATATATGTAAGAGATGCAAAAAAGAATGACTTGAGATACAACCTATTCATTTCAAGTCCTCATTTTTTACCAACCGCTGGATATGGTAGGCCGTTTCTGGTGTAACTTCATACACTATGATTGGTTTGGAAAATGAATCGCCTGGTAATACCAGATGAGCCCCTTTCTCAATGATTCTGTCTGTTGATAAGGCATAAAAGCTGTTGTTAGGTATAGAAAAAACCTGTCCATTCTCTAATGCACACATAGTTGTTTTTCTGAAGTGGATTTCTGCTATTCAAATATTAGCATAAGTTTAAGTAAGGTATATACAATTATCATTTCAATTACTTGGGGAGTTTGGTCTTATATCCTCACTGCGAATTGGAGAGGGTTGTGGTAAATTTTCTTGAATGTAGCTTGATGTATTATCTTGCATTAAGACATCCTCGCTTGGAGTAGTTTGGCGACTGGGTATGTCATAAGAAGTTCGCTCTATCTCTGGCGTATCCTCTAAGCCAATTGATGATCTTTCGCCTGTTTCAAGATCTAATAAATATATTAGCAATGTGAACAATTCCGGTTAATATAAAATACTTGCGTTTTGTAAAAAAGCTTTCATGCTCTTTATAAAGCTGAGAAGTATACTCTTTAAAAGAGGTCGAGATTTTAGCTTCATGTTCCATCCACCATATTAGCGCCTTATAAAAGTTTTCTATTTTTGTAATGCCTCCTATCGTTGTTGTAGACATAGAAAGCACGCATAAGAAAAAGGGATCGCGCCCCATTTTGAAAAGTTGAATCAGTACCGTTCGGGTCTTCTGATATCTTTTTTCGGTTGACTTTCCTCTACCAACTGTCTTCTTCTGACTCCAGAAATCTTTTATTGGGCCAAACTTTTTTAGCTTCCCTGTATCTAATGGAACGTCTTCTGCAAAAAGATCAAGCGTCTCTTGCATACTTTTGAATTCCTCATAGTACGGCCGAATCAGGTCAAGAGACATGGCTGATAGGTAAACTCCGTTAGCCGCTAGGGAAAGCTTCAAGAGGAAGAGGAAATTATCGGCCGGCGGAAGTATTCGAGAGATAGGCGGATAAAAATGAGACGTAAAACGCGAAATAGATGAACGTGGAAGGATACACGTGGAATAGATAAGGGCGAAACAGATGAGCGTGAGATGGATGCACGTGAGATGGATGAGCGCGAGATGAGCGAACGTGAGAGAAATGAGCATGAGATAAATAGGCGGAAGATTTAGGCAGAAGCTCGTAAGCCCTAGCGTTGTATGAAAGGCGGTGACAAAGAACGATGCCTTAGGCATCAACTAACCCACGGCGTTTAGTGCCATAGACAGAAGTAAAAAAAAAAAAAATTTATTAAAAATAACAATAGCGATAACCAAACTACACCCGAGTCTGAATGTGGCGCAGATTGGAAGTAAATGAAGTCCCAAATATAAAAATAGAGGACGAAATATTTTTCTGTCTAAAGAAAATGCTGCATTATAATTATGTCCTTGTGAATATGTCCTTGACTTCGGCCCGAAGTCCCTCATCCACACATTCCAGATACATTTGCTGTATATAAATAATAAACCACTTTTGAGTCTCCTCTTCGCGTGTATTTGCAGGAAAAATCAGCTTAGAATCACACGAACAGCTAAAGACTGTAGTTTCGCGAGGAGTCGGCTCAGAATCATAGCTAACATTTCTCTGATTATCTTGCGTTTGTAAGTCTTGCTTATGCAGACACTCTAGACACACTGGGTATTTATAAATAATAAACACCTTTTTGGCTAGCGCATCAAATTTAATTTCGCGAGGAATCGGCTCAGAATCGCACGTACAGCTAACGCTTCTCTGATTATCTTGCGTTTGTAAGTCGGTGGTCCCGTCATTAGAAGGAAAGTTAGATACTATTCCACAACTCCAGTTAGTACGCCAGCCAATAAAGCTATTCTCGGCGCTGTGCATTAATTCTGCGGCTTTGTGCTGATTGATATTCTTTGGTTTGAGATAGGAATATAAGTAAAATACCTTTACTGAAGTAAGGGGGGATGTCTGCTTCCTGCTGTTGTAAACCCTCCTCATACTTCATTATGTCGGCTCCCCGCTCTTTTTTATACTCTTCTTGTTTTGCTGTAATTGGTTAATCTTGTATTCTAGAGTTGAAGGCTATGTGACACACCTTCGTCTTCGCCATACGTAGTAATAGGCTTGTAGTTCCCGGGCACGTAATCCGTAGGCTTGTAGGCCCATTTGAAACCTGATAATGGTAAAGGCCGTTAGGATATGATTTATAATTATAAGCTAGTGGTAATGGCTAGATACCTTCCCAAGGAATTTGATCCACTTTATCAGACATTATGGTGCTGCCACTATAGTATGGGGAAGTTAAACCAGGTTGATACTCTTCATCAGACATTGCACCGTTGCCATTCCAGTATTGGGAAGTTGAATCCGATTGATGCTCTTCGTCAGATATGGATAGTGGGGTGTTGCCATTATTGTATATGGGAGGTAAATCGAGTTCATGCTCTTCACTAGGCATTGGGGTGTTGCCATTCGAATATTGGGAAGTTGAAAACGATTCATACCCTTCATCGGACATTGTGGTGCTGACATCCCGGCGTTGGGAAAGTAAAATAGCTTGATATTCTTCGTCGCGCGTCCAGTATTGGGGATCTATATCAGGGGAATGGTTGGAAAGTCTGATGTTGCATTTAGTTACTTATCTATTTGAGTAGCTGGTAATTCAACTTACCTATCAGTAGCAGGTGACGAAGGTTCTTCTTCTCTCGGCGGGATGACATAGAAGCCTGATGTAAAATCATGCGCCATATTCAATTACGCGGGATATTGATAACGAAAGAAATTTCTTCTAATGATCTGGAGCTTGATTGATTTAGGAGTTCTTACTACCATCTAAAGATAGGAGGAGCTATAGGATGGGGAACGACCTCTCTTTATACTTTGAAAAGACATCGGAGAATCAAGTGACAAAACAACAACTCTCCTTAATTTCCCTCATGACAATGTTAAATCGTCATCTAGTTGCCCACCTGATTCATACATTAGGGAGGCCTCCTTCATCAAGCAATATTAGTGGCTAATTATTCTGCTCCCTACGGTCGTAGATGTACTAGAGGTGCAGCTATGCAGGCTATACGATGCAACTTATTGTGAGATGGTTGCATCCTATACTCAATCATCTAGTGAACAACCCCTGGGATTACTTCATCTCTGTTAAATAATTTATGGCTTTCTTTCCCGCTCCTTTTCTTCTATCTCAAGATGAGATAGCACTCTTCACTGGATGTTTGCTTTACATCATGTTTTGCGACTCTGCGCTAATATAGTAACAATACCGTGAATTAATCTTGACATAATTATACTGGCGGCTTCTATCAATCATAAGCCTGAGATTAGAAAAGTGTCTCACACGACCTGTTGGATGGTATGAGCCCATTATCTCATGAGACCACCAACAGAGAGACTTTTTGCTAGCGTAGTGAATAATGAGACTCTGGGTGAGCCTAAGGAATATGAGATATTATGAGTCACTAAGCGGCCCTAGTCTCACATTTTAATATGAGCCCTTTTATCTAATGAGCCGGCTCATCCGGAGGACCTTTTGCTAGCGCAGGAGGGGTGATGAGAGCATAGCACTAACTCGCAATAGTCCCATAGTCTAAAGGGTCTCGTGGACATGAATTTCTATTTCCGTCGTGTTAAATTAGCTCATAGATTTGGCTGACCGGGCTTGGAACTCATACATGTGCGGCGCCAATTAGCGGACTTAAATTAAAGGACCATTTGGCGGCGTGATGCCACATCCCATGTCAATACCCCTAGAGATTACTCTTTCTGGCAAGCATTTGACACAAGTTACCTGGTCCGTTTACAAAACTGAATTGGAGCTACAAGGTAATAGCGCAATATTAAAGTCAAGCGGTATCCGGCTTAAAAATATTTGGGCAAGCTATCTCGTCACTGTTTAATACTCATGTATGTTTGAAATAATTCAAGGATGCCTACTTACACGGAACACCAAACCCCAGAACCGACCTCCAAGACAGGCAGGGCAACACATCGATGTATGCTTCACGATTGCCGTATACTATGTGAGGATGAGGAGGAATTAATACGACATATGAGCGTAAACCATGATATATGCCGATGTGGGCATACAAACTGTGGTGCATTTTTACCTAAGTACGAAATGCTACAACATATTGCGGAACATCGCAGCTTCCCTAACGCTAGGGTGAATAGCGATACAGAGCATCGTATCGGAAAAAGGGGTAAAGGCGATGCCAATGATAAGGGGTCAGGCAGTCGAGTATAAAGCCAACAGTCTCAACGATTGATCCGACACAAATCTGACAAACCGGGACTTCAAAGGACAATAAACTATAATAAATGGCCTTCTGAATACACGCATGACGACAGGCTTTACAACAAACTCAACACCCTTTTATCAGGTTTAAGACATCGCATCGGCAAACCCCCTCAGAGGCCAGGCGGTCTTAAAGAGCTGTGTTACGACCCGACTCTTAGACTCATTTAGATAACTTAGATAGCCCCTTGTTAACACAGAATCAAGATTGGAATACCCTTCTAACCTACTCACTGGTGACATTGTTTTATTACTATTGCCCATAGATCTCCTGACCCATCCGCCAACATAAACAATAAGACCAGGTTTGTCCCTTGGAAATCTTCTGAGCCACTAACTCTCATAGGAGCTTAGTGACCAGGTCGTCACAAGCTGCATAATTTATCATTATCTATCAGATTTATTAGATCACGAAGATAGAAGCCCCTTACCTCTCTTTGGAATACAATTAACAATTTTCTCTGTACCATATATTATATTAAGTGTTATATCCATATTCATGCCAGAACTAAATTTCCCTCAGGCTACGTCTTGGACAGCCCATCTTTTTTGTCAAGACTCAAATTATTTCATCTATCACCCTTCGGCTATAATTGGACGCAGATAAGACGCATATAGGGTCAAACAATAGCATCACTAAATCCCTCACACCACCATGACAATGTTAGGCTGAATTTACGCGCCGCATCAACGTAACCTTCAGTTGATTGGATGTGAACCAAAGGGGAGAGAAACTTTGGTCGAGTATCTCTCCTTCGCTGATATATAAGACGTCGTCAAAAGCCCTACTTCTTATAGTACCTCTTCTTGCATCATCTGTTGTAGATAGAATCCTTACAATGTCGCAAATAACCAACAATAGCTCCAGCTTCACCTCCTCGACTATTGCGGATGTCAGCACCATATACGGGTCGCACGATAGCACCTGTGTTCTCCAGTCCCCAGTTCACAGACAAAATACAACAGCCTGTCAATCTATTCTCGGCTATAGCGAAGGTATTGATGAAGATGACAGTGACCTGCCGACCTTGGATCAGCGTGAGCCTTACCTTATTCATCACCATTGAATTATAGAGACAGCTAATAAAGCATAATTATCAGTCCTTGACGAGATTATGGATGAACTTAGAAGAAAAGGCCGGGTGCTATGTGCTCTTGATGGCGAAGGTGGAAAAGCCTTGTTGTTTCCAAGCGTGGAACTGCCAATTCGAGTCATGGAAAATTGATGGAGGTAATATATTTGGATGGCTTCCATATAGAAACTAGCCTGAAATAATAGGGCATATTTGTTAACCGGACTTTTAACCCTCTGGCTGGCTTCATATTTAGTTGTATATTGTTGTGCGCTCTGGGGCACGTGGTAATGGATGTGAGAGATACGGGGACCTCCGATCTCACGCGATAAAATGTATATTTTGAGTCTACTATATTCATCAAGATATCGAAGTTGACAAGTCCGATTGGCGTGGTGAGTCTTAGAAACCCATACTGCACATATGTATGCCACAGCGCTAATCTAGCGCAACATCACTCCATAGATACTTTTGGGGCTTGTATTATACTATCAGCGTGGTAGCTACGTCATTTACTAATATAAATACACATGTAGTATTCACGTTAACTACATATATTTAGATTATTTCTCACCTTTCGGCGTCAACGCCTTGCAATCTGATTGACATTCCAGCTTATCCCATCTAACTCTCTTTGACCTGGTATTAGCATTTGGCGTAAAAGGCTTTCGTTTGAGTCTCCCATTGTAGGCTTCTCTATTCCGAACAGTTTGCCATGCATCATATGCAAGAGCCATTGTCGCACTTGGCCGATCCTGAGGCTTCAAAGCGAGCATTTTGTGAAGTAGCTGAGCAAATGCCTTTTTGTAGTATCCCCTTTCAATGCCTGCATCTATAGTCTCAATTAATAACAAATGGAGCTTTCGGTCCATTTTCCGTTCCTTAGGGACTTGGAAAAAGGCAAAGAGCCACGACGCAGCAATTCCCCATATATCAAGCTTTTCCTTGTCTAGGTTTGCACCATCCTCTTTCCAAATTTCAGGCGCAATACAAATGCTTGCATTGGGCTTTTCTGGAAGTTGCATGTCAAGAGAAATAACTGCACGAAAATTTCTAATATCCTTGGTTGGTATTGATAATTCTGGCTCGTCAAAGATCAATAGCGAGTCGGGACGTATATTCCCATGGCTGATGTTCTGTGCATGCAACTCAGCCAGCCCCATTAAAGTTTGGTAGCAAAGCATAGAACGATCCTCATAAATTCTTGACCATTGCATATTTGCAAAGCTGTGCTTAGCTAAAGGCATAGAATAAAACATTTTATGACAAGCGTTAAAGGTTTTTTTCTCCTTTGCGCAAAAGCATGGGGGGGAAATGTCGTGTTTACACCAAGTATCGAGAATTCCCAGCACTCCATTTTCTAGGGTTTTGCCGTATTGGCTGGCGGTTCGGAGTCGGGCACGAGTGTCTGGTTGCGAAGCTATGTTCCGTGGTAATTGCTTGACAGCAACTGGGTCTCCGGTATAAATATTAACACCGGATCTCACTGATGTTTCTGGTATATAGTTATGAAGCCAGACATTCCAAGATGCCTCAGAATGCGCGGGGTAGGCTGATGGTGTAGGATAAAGGCTTCGGTAGCCATGAGACTCTATTTTGGCTTTTTCTCCGTCGTTGCAGTGACCTTGGGTGATGAATTCGAGAACAAAGCGATATTCGCCGATCCGCAGGAAATTGCGCTTCTGTCTCATGACGCAGCTTTTCCTCTCCAGCATATACAGTTTTAAATCTTGATTGCCCATGTCTCCGTTTTCGTATATAATAGGTAGTCGCTTGGAGTTTGTTGTGAGCATTAACACGTTCGACTTCGTATGGAAGTCAATCACAGCGTGTATATCCTCAATGCATTGGCGGGCTCTATTGGCGCTGCGAGATTCGCCCGGTGGACAGAGCAGGATATCGGGTTTTGTATTGTTGTAGTTCTTGTCATGTATCGCTTGAGATGGGCCGGCCCCAATTAGCCAGAAATCCTTGAGACCGGAGCCATTACATGATGAGATAGTTGACAGCTGATAACCAATTGATGTTTTATTACTTATAAGAGCCGGGAGTGGAGTTTCAGCCTTGACAAGGTCCAAAAGGTGAATGGCGGCTGCGTTATCCGCAGACAAGATGGCAAAATTCACGGTGGGCGCTGGTTGCACCTGAAAGGTTTCGTCCGACATTGAGAGTTTTGCTGTCAGGATTTGAGAGGGCGGAAATTGAGCAGTCATAGGGGAATTCACCGATACCCATATATACTAACTACTAGACGGGCAATTAATTGGAGCCCTGTGCGTGCTCCATACAAATGCAAGGGTAATATTGATAATAAGACATGAGGGCTTTTTGCTGCAAGAATAAAAACGTTACCTACCTAGGTAGCTGATCGTGTACTACCTTGGCCTAGTACCCAAATGATTTTTAGGTGTTTTTCGTGAGCGCTTTTAGTACTTACGTTCTCAAGAAACACTCACGTGACATAAATACACCGCTCCTTCAAAGAGCTTCGCTCCCTTGACACCAACTTCACTAATATTTGCCCCAGCTTTTCCTACCCAAACGCATAAGCCGAAACGAATATGGCAAAACGAAAATCCAACGATAGCGCGCTCATGCCGCACAAAAAAGCTAAGCGCAATCACCCAACTGCAGCTGCTCTCGATTGCCGGTCCCCCGAACTCAGTACCTCACATAACCGTCTCTTGTCGCTTGAGAAACCTGTGGGACTCCGGAAGCGCAAGAGGACGCACGTTCTACTGAATGACTCGTCAGAAGAACCACATCTAGAGTCAGATCCAAAATCAGACGGAGGAAAAGAACCTTCAGCTAAACGAGCTCGACAATGTTCATCTGATCCAGCAAGCTGCCCAGACTATCCTCTTGTGCCGTGGCAAGGCCTTGAGGAGCAGCCACGTCTAGAAAAAGAAAAATCACACTACGATTTAACCCAGGCATATTTCCAACAATCACACATAAATGCTATGCGATTTTTAAACGAATACAGGCAATATGAGAGGGGTCCTAACCATCGAAACCCCCTACCAAGTCCAGACCTCTCTGATGACGAGGCAGCCGGAACCCATGCAGCGAACTTTGCCATCATCGAGCCCTTTTCGATACGAGATGCTACGCCATCGGCATCAGTTACGCCTGTGCTCTCTCTCCAGAGCTCTAGAAAACGTGACGCGACACCACCTCGAAGGAAACAGCGGCAATCTCACAGGCAGAATAAAAATAAGGCCGAGAATGCTCTAAATACGCGGGATTTTTTGCGATCCATGCGATCTTCTAGACGAAATCCTGGATGCAGCCTGTGGTATCTCGCCGATGACGGAAAAGCATGCCCTGTGTTATAGGTGATTGGCCGAGGAGAATCTGGATTTGAGATTGAGTCAGCTTGGGGGCATACCCGTTAACCCAGCAGGGCCGGGGGCAGCGGGCAGCCTTTGAGAACAACTGACTCCGAGCACATTTGAGACGTTGGAGTTACGTTTACCTACTTACAGCATGGTCGTTAATCTGACAGGGTCGGAGGCAGCGACGCAGCTGAGGAAGGTGATGAAACTTTAGTCACAGTAGTTTGTTTCAGTGGACATGGTCGTTATCCTGGCAGGGCTGGGTGCAGCGGCGGAGTCTTTTTGGATGTCTCATGGACAGATTCTCTGGATGTCAATGCCAATTTCTCTCTCTCTCTCCCTCTCCCTCTTTTTTTTTTTTTTTTACTTCAGTTCAGGCAGATGATGCCTTATGGATAATACCCTATAGCGAAAGATACTGTTTTGCATTTTATTGGAGATATTGGTATTAATTAAATGGATAACTCTGGAATACCGCGGATACCAGCCTGGATAGCACAATTTGGAAGACAATCAATGGATACTAAATTATCTGCAAAATAAACATCTATATTGATTGGCAAAGCGCCAAACACTCAATCAGAATCTGACTCCTCCACCGACTCCATTGGCTTTGACTCCAACTTAGCACTGTGTCCACGTAGGTTATATCTCTTTTTGTTTTCACCACTCGTAGCAGTGCGCTTCTTCTTCTTCCATTTTGTCAACGCCCCCTTTGTCATTTTCCCATCTTCGTCAGCATCTCCATGGCCCAGCGCGAAAAGTGTCCCGTTAATGTTCTCATCCGCCTGAGCCGAGCCATATACCGTCTTCATATCCGTTCGAGTCCAAACGCATAATTTTGTCTGGCCCTTTGGAATTCCGAAAACAAGACAAGTTCTGCCATTGTAAGCAACTTGCCAAATATTAAATTCCTCCCACGGGCATCTAAGAAGCGCAGAAGGTGATGATTTAACCATTACATGGTAATTTTCTGCATTGATATACGCGTCTCTAGCAATTGGGTAATCCTTCATTGGAATTAGAAATGCGTCTCTCAATTGCGGTTCGTCCACGAAAATTAGCGGTTGAGGATCAGTGACCACAAAATAATAAGAGTATATGCATTCAATCCACATAACGTAGTTTTCTCTCTTCTTGGGCGTATTATTTAATTCGTCTGCAGGATGCACAGCAAGGGTAATGGTCCATGGGCCACCTTTGACTGCATCATACCACTTCCTTCTCACTGGATCCGTCTCCGCCCTGTTTGGTCCTTCTGCTAATAATAGCTGTTCATCGACATTTTCCATTTTGATATCTGGGTGTTGAGTTGCATCTTTACCCGTGTTCTGATCTGTGTCTTGTCTTGTGGACTTATCCGTGTTTTTGCTTGTGGATTGATCCGTGTTTTTGCTTGTGGATTGATCCGTGTTTTTGCTTGTGGATTGATCCGTGTTTTTGCTTGTGGATTGATCCGTGTCTTGGCTTGTGGATTGGTCCGTGTGTTTGCTTGTGGATTGGTCCGTGCCTCCGTTAAATGGTGGGTTATAAGGCTTGTCATATAAGTATTCTTCCTTAATGTCAACGGCCTTTCCAAGTTCTAAGCAGTCGTCGAGCCATTTCTGGTTTAAAATTGGAACATGTCTGTCTTTTGCTGTATTTATTGTGCCTCGTTTATTAGGATCTATAATTCCGGCTACGACAATGTTCCATTTGTTGTTGTCCTCTGGTTTCGCTTTAAGGTTAGCTGCGGTAAAGACAGTAAGACCAATGGCCCGCAGCTTGGTTGCAATATTATCCTGTTTAATTTGTTGATCTTTGCCCCCTTTCGTCTCCTTAAATTTTCCGGAAAGAGCAATAACTGGGTTGAAAGCCATGATGAATAAAATAGCTGTGTTCAAAATAATTTGTGTTTTATAGATGGTAATTATAATTGTTTTAAATCTATATTCGCATCTAAGACAGTGCACATATTTATATATTTCATCAACGTACCAAATGAAATGTGGAAAGTCTATGTCTTAAAATAAAGCAATCGTAGAACATGGGAAATTCTTCAGCTAAGACAGCGGCCTTAAATTATTATCAAGGTTAAATTTAGTGCATTAGTTTTAATTTAAGCCTTGTAAGCCAATATTCTTAATAGTACAATAATTAAAGAAAAGAAAAAAAGCATTGTGAAACAAGGTTACTGCACTAGCCTGATAATGTATAGACTTATATTAAAATGTATTATTATATTCTGTTGGAATGCAACCTTTTTCCTACTTATTACAATACGGGCTACAAAGCTGCTAGGCTTATCCAAGCCTAGCTGTAAAGCAGCACTTTCATTTGTTAGCGAGTATAAATATTTACATAGGCCGACGCGGCATTTTCCTTTGTACCAATACAAGGCTATTTGTAACCTCTTATCGTATGCTCTATTTGACTAATCCGAGCGTTCCAACACATTCCTTTTTAATTCCAACCTTTATAAGCATTAAATGCTACTTAAATGAAATAATTAGCCTATTTTGTATATATAAAGGATTGGTGCTTTATTGAGATAGCATGATTAATAGGCTAGATTTAATATGCAAGGATTTATATTAAGATAGTGTATCAGAAATATTATACGGGAATACTCTGTAGATCTTGTTGTTCCTTCTCTATGTCTTTGGAATTTCGGAGAAGTGAAGCATCATCCTCGCTCATTGTGTTACGTTTTGTGCTTGTTGTTCTTGCACGCAGCAGAGTTCCAGCACTTGGTCCTTTCAGCTTGTTGTGGCCGAAAGATATTGGCTGGAATTCTGTCTCTTTGTACTCAATGTTCTTGTCGTCTATGCTTTCAATGACCCCATTTCGGACGTTGGCCATAAAAGGAACATCTCCACAGGCTATCGCTATTAGTATTTCGATAGAGGAATAGAGCGCCTTTCTTACCTATCACAGCGAGATTCCCTGGCCGGCGTAGTCGTTGTTCTTGGATTTTATGTACTAATAGCTTATCAAAGGTTTGAGAGGATACCGAATAGATGCATTTCCAATAACCATCATCTTTAAATGGTAAATAGCCGCTTTGGGGCTTCGGAAAACCACACCAAGCAACAAACAATTTCTAGGAATATTAGGAAGTAGAAAGAAAGGTCACACGATAAATACGTACATGATGCGGGTCGAGCTTTTGAAGAGCTCGGATTTCATTTTGCGCCCATATCATTTGAGAGTTATCTTCAAGAGACCAGAATAAATCGACATTCTTGACGGTGTCGCGGTATAATTTCTTTTTCTCATATTCGTCTTTTTGTTTCTTTAAAAGTTTCTCTTTCTGAAGAATAGAGGCAAGCTCGTTACCTGACGACTTACCCTTCTGTTCTATTACCTCTTTGAGCTTATAGCTAATTTTCTGCAGCTCAGCTCGATTGATATCGTCGCGGCGTCGTCGGGCACCTATATCCAAAGCTAAGGGTAGGATTGCAGCTATTCCAATTCCTTTAGCGGCAAGTACGACATTTTGGTATTTATGTAACTGCGGATCTTGACCGTATGGCCCATCGAGAAATATGAATTGCCCTTCTTGGAAACTTGCATTATAGCTGGCACGAGAGAGCAAAAATGTAACTTCCCTTACTGCTTCTGGGCCATCTTCAGGCGGATACCAATACACCATTGCCGTGACACTGTGAAGAAAATTATATTTTGCCCATCTTGACGGAAGATATATGTAAAAATAAGAGCCAGGGCGGACCTCAATCGCTCTTTTGAGTCTAACATTGAGTGTTACGGCATCCATATCCCCAGAAAAATTTAGTATCTCTCCTGTGTGGCCTGAGAAGACCATGCGAAGAATGCGAAACAAAGTTGTGGACACCCAGAAAGCGCAAGAAGATATTATCAGTGCTTGTGCAATGGTCGAGGATGTCTGGTTGATGTGCCAGAGAGTTACACCAGCTGCGCTCATGGCGATTGTTCTGTGAGCCCACAAAAACCATTGCCCAAAAAGTTTCTTGACGAATGAGATACACATGAGTGCCGAGCCAAGAAGTAAGCCGATAGCCTAGTCATTTGTCAGTTGACAAAAGCCATCACCTGACCCTGGCCACTTACAATCCATCCAGATGTCAAGATATGACCATGTTGTGAGTTGGAATGCAGAGAAACAACAATTGATGAATGAGCTACTGCCTCGAGTGCTACAATTATCCCAATCCACAAGTGAGCGATTTGGTATAGTTGCCGGGAGACATTCAGTGCATCAACAAGGTGGGCACGTCCGCCAATGCAAAGGGGTGTAATATTGACGAGGCTGGCCAATGCAGCGCGTTTTTGCACCAACTGCCACCCTGGGAGTGGAAACAGTGGCACAAGGATAATTAATGCATTAGCAAGCAGAAAGGTGACGCATAGACCGGCCGTTATAAGTGTTATTCTGATCTCTCCTCCATGGTAGAGTAAGGGTAGCTTAATGCGCTTGGAATAGAAAGTTTGAGGATTCGGTACGAATCTTTTGATCAGCCAGATAAGAAGTGCGAGGGTGAGAAACCCAAAAAAAAATACAAGGTACCACAGGTTTCTGTCGAGTTCCATGGTTGCCTGTCTCATACTTGCTGTAGATATACAGAGCAAGGGAGTTTTGGATATTTCACAGGCGGGGGGGTTGAGCGGTTTTGTATATCTCTTCGATGGCTGTGGCCTTAATTTAGCAACTTTGGTACATTCAGCGCAGAGAGAGACAAGCGCCAGCATTGTGTCTACTGGCTGCCAGGCTACCCGATAGATGATGGAGTGGAGTCGGCGTTTCGCCTGAGATGCAAGCGCCTGATTTAGAATGCATGTACTCCTAAAATTAAACCTCTGCAGGCAAATAAGTGAACCAGCACGCTGATTGGGTTTGGCTTTGTAAGAGCCGGGCTTTCTCGGCGGCTGCGGAGCTAGATTTATGGGGCTGCCGGCGGCTCCTGCGTCGGTGTGGGAACGAGCTGGTGGAGAGGGTTTCCGTGTGTGATACCCCAGCGGCTTCTAACAGGTCTTAAAAGCTGACCTGTTCCCCTCTATAGGAAACAACAAACAGTTGACAAGCAAGCAATTGTGTCAAAACCACTTTATAAAACTACTTTCTCGCTACTTCATCATGAACACAAGGCGCCGCCGCTCTCGCCTCAACAAAAACCCGGCCAGAGGCATGAAAAATAGGCAAATCGGCCTGGGCAAAAAGGCGCACGAATATAGCGTAGCTTATGGCTCAGATGTGATCATTATTATTCGAGGGCCAGATGGCCATTACAACGGCTATCAGTCTCAACCTGGTCTTCTACGAAGATTGCGATCTGTCTCAGTTCCAGATGATCAGCTTCTCGGGCCAGATTACTTCAGCAGTGAACTGCAGCGGAAAACATCCTGGTCAGAAGGCTCTACGACAGATTCAACCTTACCACGACCCGATTCAACTTCAAGCACAAAACCGAGCCTAGTTCCCGAGGCAATGGACGTTGTTAGTGATTGGGGAGAATTCCCGTTAGATGACATGCAGTCCATATGTTCTTTGGACGATTCACTATTTCACGACATCAACTTCACATTAAACAAAGAAGATTTTGATAATAATACAGGCTCTCCGAAACATAACACGATGTCTACACCTACCTCTCCTAAGAAGGGAGAATTAACACAGAAAAACTACTCCCATCTTGCACAACCCAAACCAATCTCATTAAGCACAAGAAATACCATTTTATCTCTACTGGATAGCTTTTTCGAATAATTTTTGTTTGCTAAAAGGGAAATTATTACTGTTTAATTCAAGAGAATCCTTTCTGTCGCGTGGCTCAAGACACATATATTTGGAAACTCGGGCAGTTCTTCAAATCCCCCATTCTTGATCAAACTGCAACATCAATCAATCAGGCTGGCCTCATGTTTCCTTTGAATATATATTTCCTCAACACTACTCTATTATACTAGCAATTCTAATGTATCTATAGTCTTAGCTACTTCTAGCTGTAAGATAGGTTTACTTTGTAATGAATCTTTGTTTCTGTCAATTTGAAGAGCCGTTCTTCTGTATGGATTGTTTAACCCTTGATCCTCTATAAGATGATCGACGCGGTACGGGCAATTGCTTATGCTATACTTCTCGCCGTCTATTCCATCCATATCAATAGATATTGCTGCGGTAGGGGATAGTACCTTTATTTTAAATTTTCTCTCGAATGGCTGCATTTCTCGACACTTTTGGATAACATCTTCAGTGCATACTAAGGCCTTCATTTCTGTAATCTCGTCACATTGATAATAAAAACAAATCCTAAGACGATGGATTCTGAAGAGTAAGTCGAGAAGAGCATGACCAGGATTTAGGCGGCAACGTATTACGATGGTTATGACCTCCGGCGAGTAATAAAACATTGGCATAGTTTTAAGCTCGATATAAAACAGGTGACATAACAATTGATTTGAAACTGCTTGCAATAGTCCTTGGGTATATGTGTTGCCGTTGTATTGTATTAAGAGATCTCCTGGTCGGCATTTGTGTTCTCTGTTTCAGAATCAGTTAGTATTGAAAAGGCGTCTGAAGCTAGGGCAGGTATGAAGTCTAACCCATCTTTTCTCCTATTTGACTCCTTGTTGTTCGATGGAAGTATGACTTTTGGATTATTAAAATTGGAGATTTTATTTAAATCGAGAAGAAAGAGATCGTGTAGATAAATTTTCTCTTTTTTTATTTTGAAGCCCTTAAGGTGTCTAATATACCTTTTACACTCCTGCAAAGTCCATTTCTTAAGAAAGACTGTAATAATAAAGTAAAATCCTATTTACTTAGCTTTAATAATGAATTTCTTCTAGTTCGCATGCTACTTACCCAGCTCAGTACCACGCAAAATGTCAAAGTGTTCGCAAAATGCCATCCCATTTAATCCAGCTATCATCTGTAGCTCTCTTAAGAAGTTCCAAGTTCTATCGGGAACAGTGCCACTTAGGTGAAGAATTCTATTACCTGCGGTTGGCGGTTTCAATTTAATAATAGTGACATTGTTGCTAGAGCATACTCGGCACGGTGTATGTTTAAATCGCCAAGGCTCCAGTTCCTCGCTAAAATGTAGAACACATGAGCTACATAGGCGATGTTTGCAATCCAGGGTATATCTTGCGAGTTGGATAAGGCAGATAGAGCATGCCACTTGGGTAAATGTTTTTGACAGATAATCGGCGGTTTGGATAATCTCAAGATGCTGCTCGGTGATGTCTTTACCTTGTCTACGGGCTTTAGAGACGAGGGTTGAGAAGAATAATTTTATTTTTAGAGTAACATTCGGTATTTTTGCATTTTTTTCGCATTGATGAACCGCTTCCCTATATAGTGTTTCGAAGACCTGGTCGGGGGGGAAAGCTGTAGTTGTCAGTGCTAATTACTGCTGAGGTAAATTGTATGTACTTACATTGCATCCGAGGAGGAAATGCATCCATAGCCAAGGCAGACGCTATAATATAAGGAATCTCGTGGCTCTCTTCGCAACTTCTGAATACGTCCATAATACAAGCACTCAGATGTTTGGGTACGGGATAATGGAGCCTGGATGCACTAATTACGTTGAAATGCGAATATTTTTGCTTTCCATAGTGAACAGTAGCCTCTTGGAATAGAAGTTTCCAATTAATTGCTGAAAAATTTAAACCAGCTTCTGCCCGATAAATTGTTCCCGCTAGTAATGCTTTATCTATAGCGCTTACGAGGTTTTTTGTATGTCGAATTATACTGATATTGAACAATCGTTTTCGGGTTTGTTGGATTTGAGCCAACGTGTAATCTGTCTGGGTGTTCATGGTGCGCAATCGGTAGAGCATCGCGATCTCTAAACGACCCATAACTACTTCATCGCGTATTTCATTCCCTTCACCAAATACCAATGAGATGTATGCTCGATGTTGGTGGCGCCTTTCTAACCCTTCTTGCATCCAATAACAAAGAATATTTATTACTCTTTTCAAGCCGCCAGTGTCGGAGACAAACAGCACTATTAAATCACTGAATAGTGATAGCACGTTATAATAAAAGGAATATGCAACGCCAAGAGCCTTATGCGGTGGATGTTGAAGCAGATGGTAATGTAGGTGACCTGGCTGGAAGCCTCCAACGATTTTATTGATCGCTGAATCTGGCTGAAGATGTAGTTCACAGTCTAGGAATATTTTGTCGGAATTCCCCGGCCAAGGGCAAAGAGCCACCGAGTATCCTGGAGCCGATTGCCTGCTGAGCCCAAAATAGCGTAATAGCGTTGCTCTTTTCTGCAACCCCCCTATCACTGTCACTACCTGAAGCGTTTTTGTCCCCAACACATCTATTGCTCTATAGGGAGCTAAGTTTTCTTGTAAATAAGGGCCTGGCAAGCCAGGTGCGTTTGCTTTCAACTCCAGTAGAGTTTGCAGAGTCATAGTAGATTTGGGTTTAAAAAGGTAGGTGTTTGTTACTTGAAAATATGACAATATCTTTATATTTACACTTATAATCCTCACAAAATGCACAGTCGGGCAAGCTGTTTATAATACAGTGTCTTCAAGTAAGGGCAAGCGCTAGGCGAACTGAACTAGAGCGGGGTTGCACAGAGGTATTTCATGTGTATCTACTAAGAGCCCGCCGTTGGATAACGACTTGTACACTAAATATTTTAATTTTAGCACTCTTGTAGCGCATGTAGTAGCACCCACCCTTGGCTATCCTTATATTAGTATTTACCTCCCATATTAATTTTAGACATGATAAGTGTTAATTAGAAGCTTTATTGTGAATAATTAAACTTGGCTTTATCTTAAACAGCGCGGCTATAACATTTCTCTATTGAATAGCAAACGTATGTGGTAGATCTGTTGGCGCGCCAGCTGTTGACTATATTTTTAATTTTCATACTTTGCAGCTGTAAAAACCTTTGAGCCACAGCTCACGTGTACCTCTGTTTTATATTAGTACTTGGTCTTTATACTAAACCAAGGTTCAAGCACCAGCTTTCCACTTAATATTAAAAAGCTAATCATGTTCGATGCTTAAGACATTTAAAGAGACTATAAAAACATTATAAAAGCCTTTATTTTACAATGGCGATCCCAATAAGATATATTGAAGGCAATGTTGAAGTGCATCTGTCTCTGTTTAGATCTCAGGATATTGACGAGAACAAAACAGACAGTGGGATTTTGATATCGAATTTCAAGGGTATTCTACAGAACTCTGCCCATAAAATAGTGGGTCACGTCGGCCCTAAACTGTGTGATAAGATTCGGCGAGTCCTGAATTGGAACTCAGTTCAATCAGCTCATATACCTTCACAAGATGCCACGGCAGCCTTATCTAATAATGCTATATTCTGTTTTGTGGATGAAAGCTCCTTGAAATCAGCGAAGGAATTGTATGGCAACAACTTCAAGTGTATCATCCAGATATGCTGCATCCCGCCCCGTCAGTCACTTCAAACCTAAGCCTATTCCAATTCTGCTAATTCGTTTCACAGCCCAACAAAGAAAATTATCTGATGGGGAAATATTTCAGACTATTAGATATTTCGTTCATCAAAAAAAATTTGACATAGCCCAAGAATGGATGAACGCGTTGTCCGCACCAAAGAAGCACCATCTAAATCTTATGCTTGGCCGCCCAGCAATAATAAGCGCTATGGACGAACTCCTCCCTTTTCCTGGTTTATGGGATGGGCTACAGCTAGGGAATTGGGCCAAGCACCTGGCTGCGCATGCTGACGACCTTATTATCAACTATCTAAAGCGCATAAAGCGGGTGTATTCGAGGATTTTCCAAGGCCACGAATCTCTAATGTATCTCCTTGACAAAGATACTGTACTTCGGCTTCAATATCGATCGCTTAAATGGTCTATGCGAGACCAGAAAATTGTTCACTCTATGTTCAGAAAAGGAACTATCTTTACGAAAATTTCGTCTGACAAAATTAGAGATGATCTTATGAATAATGTGTTATCAATACCTGATGTCATTCCGAGTATTGCAACGTTTCACGCCAACATGAAATACATAACCATCGGTGCCAAGATACTGGAAAAATATATCGAGGTCAAGCCTAAAAATTATAGAAGTCAACGACATAGTATTACGCGAAGCAAGTCGAGCCTTTACGATAACCTGACAATGCACTGGACTTCTAACCGTAAAAGCATACAAATCAGTCATGAAGAATTCGTGCCAATGGGAGAGACGCAAAATGCATCCAAATTATGTTTTTTACAGCTCCTGATGGCTGCTCTCAGATACTTCCCGCATTTATCTTCAGAATCTCCACTGTTGGATAAAGGTGGAGGATGGGTGGGTATAACACCTGATGATCATTTTCGGGCGCTGCTTTGTAAAACCGCTTGGCATTTGGGATACGACAATGAGAAAATTCGGCGGGGAGCAGAATTTTCACTATCACCGCTGAGCTACAAAAAAGTTTCTCGTTTAGAAATCTGGCGTGGTGGCAAGCCACCTTTTCAGGTTTTTGAACTGTTAGCAGACGCTTCATTTCTCCCTCAGCTCTATTCGGCACAGCTACAGAAAGAGGTCAATTTCCCTAGTCCTTTACATATTCAAGGGGACATGTTAAGCGCTTTCTTCGGAGCTTTTGAGGATTTAACAGCTTTGATAGTACAAGCAAGTATTGATCTGAACCAACTCACTGTCCCCATTTCCTCCATCGAAGAGCATTATGAGGATGAGGATATGGATGGGGAAGAAGATAGTGGTACAGAAGAATATAGCAATGATCTAGAACTGAGAGATGCGGAAGAGGCTGTTCAAAGCCCTGTTGGACGGAACGCCGTTCGGCTGGCCCGAGGCAAAAAGTGGGCGCGAGCGGCGCCGTATGACAAGCGCGGAGAAGTATTGAAAAGACAGAGGCCTAAGAATCGTCCTAAGGGTATGAATCGGATTGCCAATGAGCCAGACAGACAGTCTTTATTTGACGTCCTGGCCAATACACCCATTGCAGCCAGAAATTCTACCCGTTCCATAGGCGTGAACATTCAGGAGGGAGAACCTCCGCCCGAAACTCCAAATATTTCCATGAATGACCAAGTTGTGATGGAGATGGCATCACATCACCAACAATATCATCAACAACAACAACAACAACAACAACAACAACAACAACAACAACAACAACAACAACAACAACAACAACAACAACAACAACAACAACAACAACAACANAACAACAACAACAACAACAACAACAACAACAACAACAACAACAACAACAACAACAACAACAACAACAACAACAACAACAACAACAACAACAACAAAATGACGATCAAGTTGTATCAGGTTCTACCCATTTCAATGCCGAATCGTCACTTGCTTCAGATATCATAGATGCTAATCCAACTCCCTCGCGTGATTCTGTTCTTCCACAGCCAGAACGTTTGACCCACCCAGCAGTATCAACTTCAAGCGTCATCTATTCAACAATTGAAGAAGAGCGAGAAAGGTTCGAAGAAAACTCAGGGGTCGGTCGAAATAAAACTCGTCAACAGGTAATCTTAGTGGAGGAAATTATTCGTCAGAAAGAAGAAGTTGAAGGAGAAGCTCTTTATACCGCGACAGAACAACAACAAGCGATTAACAAAGAAGCAGCCCGGAAACAAGAAGCAGCCCTACAAGAAGAAGCAGACAGTGGAGCTATCGACCAAGTGGAGGCTTTATCAGAAAAAGAGAAAAAACGTGAACAAAAATTCTACGATATTGAGAAGGAACGTAAAGAAGAAATTATGAAAGCAGAAAAGGCTCGTCAAGATGAAGTAAAGCGTCGAGATGAAGAAGCGTTTCGTAAAATAGAAGCTATTCAAGGAATAGAAGCAGCTCGTCAAAGAGAGACAAGGTTTAAAGAAGAAGAGAGAACTCGTAAAGAATTCTTTTGGAAACAGGAAGAAGATAAAAGGAAAGAGTATAAGAAATTGCAAGCGGCAGCTCGAAGAAGAGCAAATGATGAGATAGAAGCGCTGCGGATGCAGCTAATCGCAAGCTCTAGAAATGATGGAACTGAGATTTTCAATGGGGAACTCCCAGACCCAGAGCAGAGTGGACCGCGCAGTCCTCAAGATATACCGGATATTATCAGTGGACAGGTGCAGGAAAGCATCAGCTTAAATAGTGCTGAGTAAAATAAACTCATTTAATATAATATTCATACTCTGCTCTGTAATTTTCCTTAATTGAACATAACGTAACGGACCTTTCTCTGCTTATATCTACGTCGGGGACATGAATAGATGGACGAATTCCAATTGTCTAATCTGGGTATCAATGGTTTTAATGGATGATGGGGCCTGCTGCCATCTGCCAAATCCCCCGCCATCCACCAAATCCGTCCATCTATCCATTAATAGGGCGCCATCCACCAAATAACATCCAATAAATACAAATCCCAACACAAATGCATGCATGAATGGTAGCTCTTGCTTCCCTGACAAAGCCCACCATCATCCATTAAATGCATTTTGTCGTGTTCAATTGCCGGTCGCACTAAACTACTAAATATGCTCTGTAATCTTTTTCGCAGGTCAGGTCAATTACAAAGTTCTCTTGGTATATAAATATTGCGTGATTAAGTAAAGTATTAACAAATATATATATATCTCCCTCAATCCATTAAAACTTCATCCCAGTCCTGTATATAGCTATTCGAAAACATTGGGTTTCGTAAATCTTTTGGCAAAAATTCTACGCAGGCTTGCAACGCATGACTAGCGATAAATTTAATCCGTTCATTAGTGACGGAGAAATCCTTTCTAGTTTCTAGCTTAGTTTAAGCCCTGAAATGCAGCAACTAAAGAGTACTTACACTATTGCATCTGCCTTACTGCAGTAAGCGGCGGCAAGAAAAATTGATCCCCCTATGAGATCTGCCCAGCGCCTGGCAAGCCTCAGGCGTTTTTGGACATTTTGTCGCAAGGCTGAGGGGGGACCCAATGAATCCCTTTGCGCTCTAACATAGATATCTATAAGAATCGTGGCGTTTCCTTGACCGACCGTCCTGCGCAGCCGTCCACGCCTGGACCCTCTCACTATTAAAGATTTCAGAGTAGTTGTCAATCTTATCAATTGTACATATGCGAGTCTTAGTTTCCAGTCGCAGTCGTGTTGGGTTTGAATTACTCCATCGATAACCGCCAGCGCATCTAGCGTAGCATCATCGCCCGGGACTGTATTAATCGTGAGATGAGTTTTGCGAGATAACCAAGACCAAAAAGCATATATTTCCCGTTGATGGGTTTCAAAGAATTGTATTGCATTTTGCCGTATAATAGGCGCAAGTAATTTAGTGTCAATAATGATTTTTGAAGTATCATACATTGGAGAATCCTCAATGTTCATCTCCACTTGCTTCGCGTCATCTATATCTATATCCATTGCAATTGGCAACATATAACTAGCCAGCATTAATGCCATTTCGGAGATTTTGAATGATCATAGAATATATTCGATGCAATCAGTTCGCAAGCCGTACTTGTATTTATACATATATTTTAGGAGGGAGCCCGCTGTTAATATTAAGCAAGCAGCAGTTACGGCTTAATCTTAAGACTTCGCGCTCTAAATTGAGCTGTATTAAATTTAGATGTCTAAATTACAGGCGGGCCATCAGTGGATGCACGCACACGGTAAACGTCGGCGCTTATGCTACTCTATCCTCCTGGCCAAGAGACACCCTATTTGTAATTCTGTTGTTATTTGTATCTAAATCTCCCCCGTTGTATGTATGAATAGATAATACGACACAGGTCTTATTCGAATTCCAACGAGACAGCTGTTGACCAACGGCAACGTTTTATTCTGAAAGATATTAAGCCCGCTAGTAGTGCGATACTCTTCACCGCACCATGATTTGCAATAAGTACGTCTACTTGCTAAAAGTATGCTTTACAAAGCTAAAAGCCTCCATGGTATTACAGTCGCTGCATAAGTCCCACCTCTTTGAACAGAGGGACACCCCTTCAAGGACAGATGCCCAATGAAGATGTTTTGCCAATCAGTTCTGCAGAAAAGCTCCGAATAGCTCGTAGACGACGATCAAGCCAATTCACAAAACGACGCACAACTATTTTGCGGAAAGCACACGAGCTTTATAAAGATTGTGGCGTTGATATTTATATTGCCGTGAGAAATAAGCAGAACAATCAAATGTGGCAATACTCAAATGGATACATTCCCCCTTCAATTTTGAATGAAGTAGGTACTATTTCAATCTCGATTGTAGACCTTAATAATTAGTGTATTAACTTAGGACTAGGTTTACCCTGTGCCAATCATTCTAACCCCTCAAGACTTTAGAATGAAGAAATAGCTTTAGAGAAATTAAATATATCACAAATATTCCTATGCAATCTTCTAAGTCCGTATAGATTCCCAGTCTTCCATCGCCTGAGGTGTGGTGGGACTGTTCGTAGGTGTTGGAGGCTTAAGTGGAAGGAAAGAATTTCCATTTCCTCCAGCGTAATTATTGTTGGTGAGCTAGTAAACACCGGTTAGCATATTTGTCAACAAAGCGCAGAGGTGCAGCGTACGCAGTAGTTCAAGGTGTTTTTCACATCGTCTACCGCAGAGCATAGGAGGTCCATCTTTTCCCCGACATCGTGAAACTGTTGACGAAATTCTTTGCGAAATTCCTCTAGCTCTTTGTGCCAGAACAGGTAGGAAGCTTTATCACCTCTCGAGCGGCTTGAAGATTCGTGGTCTGAGCGCGCGGGCCATGGCTCCAGTATAAGCTTAAGCCTCGATTGATTGTTCTCGCGGGGATCACAGCTATCTAAACGCTGGTCCTGATCCGGGCGAAGAGGTGGGAGCTGTTCCAGAGACATAATGGATATAATGTTGAAGAATGGATTGTAGATATTGTAGTTCTCAAAGTAAAATCACTGGGAGAGATGACATATTTATACTTGATGTAGGATATTGGAGACTTCAAGTACATTGTCTAAGTACAGTTTGCATAAAAACCCGCGTGCATTCTGGCTTGCAATCTTAACCTCCTCCCAGCACTGCTAGGCTTACCTGTAGCGTCAGCGCTTAGAGCAGCACAGGACTAGGGCCATAACGAGTAGAACGGCCAGCATGCTTGACCTGTTGGCTCTAGTCGCCGCACTAGTACGAGATGCGTCTTTGGTGGGCTTTAGGCTAGTAAATGCAGTGGGCTGTTCTTCTGAAAGGGTTGCCAAACCCATACTAGACCCGGAGACCTCCGTTTTCACCGTTGTTGTTGGATGTGCCTGTGATAGCGACAGTCTAGAGGTGTGATTCAAATGCCCAGTGGCGTACGGCGGGAGGCTACTGCTCGTACGATTAATCCACGGCCCCATCCCCGCAGTCCACCGAAAATTCCCTGTACCAGCTGTGTATAAGGAAGTGCGGTCCAAAGGTTCCGTAAACAAGGTTGTCCATGACTCGCCAGGCCACATAGATGGATTCGCGGTTTTTTGGGGGAAGCTCGTACTAGATGCGGTAGCCATAAACGGCATCTCGGCAGTGAAAGCATGTGAAGTTGCTTTGTGCGCGATTGTGGTTGCTCGTGCTTGTAGAGACGTCGGGGGCCACCCCAGCGCGGTGTTAGCCGCTGGACTCGCCGATAGAGCTACACACATGCCTGCTACTGCACTTTGCCTGTGCTCTGGGTCTTCAACCATGCATCTCCTGTATTCGGGCTTGAGGTATTAGCAGCTGCTCGCATTAATAATGAGAAAGACCGGCATGCTCGCACCAGAAAGTGCCGATTTCTTCATTGCGATCATTTATAAGTGCGGAGCATGAGTCTTTGTCACCTTCGCAGGTTATAGGATGATCGAGGGCAAGCGCCAGCAGCGAAATTTTGGGATTCGCGCTCGCACACTGCAAGCCTGTCTGACACGCTGATTTCAATTCTATATCCAACCTGATGCAAGTTTAGCTTCTTTAAATATATTTCCCCATTAAGCTTCTGACTTACTTAATTGAAACGTAGGACGCCCCAACATCAAATAGAATGGAAGAATTCGAAGAATATGTCAATTCATACATGAACACTGGGTAGGCGAACAGCGCGAAAGAAAGGATAAGACGACTGATGGCATTCATAGTGAGAATGTGGCAGATGAGTGCACTGTGGAAACTGATGCCTTTCGGATATGTAAGCCCATATGCAGACGTAGATATGTAGTTAACATGCTATAGTGTAATGGGCGCGCTGGGAGATTTTATCGAGAGAATTCAAGGCCGGTATAGTCTAAACTGTTGCTGTTCAGGTAGGCCTAATATTAGGTTGTTCTTCTAGGCTTAAATTTAGGGTACCTGTAATGGCTACATGCATTAAATTTGACCTCCAGTACTCCTGGCGCTAAATTGCGTCTATGTACTTAAAGCACTAAAAGCCAGGCTCAATCCCGCTAATTACACAACTGACAGCTCGCTACGACAAACCAGCTACAGCACTAAATTTTACCACAATGGAATATCGTCACTCTGATAAGATGCCTGTCTCAAGTGCAGATTATTTCACCGGCAACAATATAACCATGGCGGCACTGGAGGATTCGGATATCCCCCGGCTTGACTCTGAAAAATCCATGGTCACTTCGGGTCCCCCTCATGCAGCGACTCCTGGATCTCAAAGCTGCATGCATCAAACTTCGAATGACCAAACGCATTGCCCAAAATGCAATACATTCGCCTTCCTCGATCAATTGCTGCCCAATGCTGGCGGTACTGGCATAGACGACAACTTCAATGTTTTCAACAACTACACATCAACTGATGACATAAAATGGTGAGAAATCTGTACCATAGGTTGATGCTAAAGCTAACGGTTCAGGATGCTTATGGGAATATCGTCCCGTCTCGATGCCTTAGAGACTGCAGTTTCCACTGGAAATAGCCGGATGGATCAACTAAGCTCTCATATCATATCTTTGCTAGGTAATATTCCAAGCAAAGAAGAATTCATCCACGCCATTGGCGATTTAAAGAAAAATATGAAGGGGTTCACTAAAGCACTACTGATTCAACTTTTTGGCTGCCATGTTCTGGGTGAGGTGGACACAGGAGACAATCCATAGGACCCACGTAAGGGATGTGTGACAAAGCATTGATATAGCCAATAACGGCGTCTCAGGAGCCGCCTTACTTTAACATTCTTTATATTGGTATATAAGGCAGAGTTCTCTCCACCATATCGCGTAAAGTTAGAAAACTAAGTTCATACATATGCAAAAAGAAGACTATATTTCATTTTAATATTATACAGAACCCTATTACACGCACCCTGCACTCTGTCTTCCGAAGTGAAATCTGCGCCTCTAAATCTACGCTATGCTTAAAAACCTCACAATGAACAGATCAGAGAAGCCTCTTCCTCTGACTCCGCAAACACAACAAAAGATATCTTCCGAATTATCACCGGCACCTCCGCCGCTCGAGAGGGAGCAATGGGCAGCTGTGAACCAACAAAACATAAATTTAAAGCAGCAAAATGAAACGTTGCGCTGCGCCTTGCGAAAGAAAAACGAAAGGATTATTCAGCTACAACAACAAATGGCTGAATACCAGCGTTACATTACGCAACAGCATGAAGATTTTGCCCGGGTGACCCGGAAAGTTCATTCGGCCTTTCAAGACTATTATTTTGCATTAGAGAGCAGCAACATCAGGGCTATGGACGCGGATCCAACGAATGAGCCTGCCCCAGCATGTGCGGCATTTAGCGACAGCGAAGAAGACTTAATTTAGCTGTTTTACGGAGATGTTGACTAAAATACAATATACCTAAATATTGCCTCTCAATCGTCCAGTCTCCGCTGTAATACGAGCAAACCACTCGTAGGTGCTTTACATCTGCATGTTGGTTGACAGGGTTCCACTCGAGGAGCCGGAATGGATTGCCCGTAGCCCAGTGCCCCATATAATCGCCGATACTCCTCCTTCTCCGACGCTCCACAAACCCGCCGAGAGTGTGTCCCATGGACCCATAGTAGAACTCCTCATTCCGAGTTGCCTCGACCTTTTGGGTGGAGTTGCTGCCCAGCATTCTTCTGTGTCAATCTTACGAACAGTTTAACCGCCGGGGCTAACAAGAGCGCATAGAACAGCAGCTAATGTAAGTTCGGACTGCAAGACTAATCTCTACGGTTTTAAAATTAATCCCGCTTTAAATAAAACCGCTTAGATAGACCAGAACGGGCTCTTTTTCTTCTCATAAATACCGAAATGCCGAAAGCTAGGTTGAAGTTTTCTCGACTTATCTTGAGTATTACACACATAAGCACAACACACAGAGAGAATAACTATTTCTTCATAGAAAGACTACATACAATAATTATGGCACCTATTACCTGCAAAGTTGTCGATGCCCATGGCCATGGAGTCCAGGGAGTTCGTGTTACTCTGGATTGTCGCAACCGATTTCGCAACCATACTATGAAGCTAGAATCGCTCACCGATGCTCAAGGTGGTATTAGCTTCTGGTATCCATCTCCCGTATCTCATGACTTTTCCGCTCTCGAGCCGCAGATTGTGGATGCCGTCGTGATCCCTTACGTGGCTTTGACTTTTTATCCTCGCCCTCAGCTCGTGGCCCCACAAGGCCCATGGCTGGGCATTCGCGCCGATCTCTTCCTTCCAAGCATGACTAGCCATGGGGTTGTGCTACATCTCGAAGAAAGCCCGCGCCTGGAGTACACACCCTACCCGGTTTCAGGTCCCATAGGCCGACTAATGGCCTCCCCACAAGCATTGGACATTCTTAGAACACCGTCTCCACTTCAGCTCCCGCCACCGCTTTTAAGCTGCTCAAGCTACTCATCTGACGGTGATCTAGAACCAACAACTGATGAAGAAAACGAAATTACGACGGGGAACCGGAAGAGAAAGCTAGAACCAGAAATGGGTGGGACCCCATCCACAAGACGGCGGCGGATAGAGTAGTGGCGCCTAGCAGCGTCGATGACGAAATACCATATTACAAACGGTATTTAGGCAGTTATATTTTGTTTATTTTTAGAGATGTACCACATCTTCTACATATAAATATTAATCTCGTATCTCTTTGTTTTAATACTTTGCCTCTAGTTTATATCGCTCAATCTTCTTTTTACAATTAATTCATCTGTAAAGACAATGCGTCCTTCGGTCGGAAGCTACAGTATTACTCCCGACAAATCCTCCAGTGTTCTTCAGCTCTATGAAAAGACCAATAAGATACTGAATGCAGAGCTGGAAATATCCAACGCAACAGTCAAGAAATTGTCACTGGATATACTTGCACTGCGTCATATGGTGGGTTCTTTTCCCTGTAATAGCTTGAAGAAATATTAACTTTAGAAGCTTCCCTGGGTGGTGTTACAGGGCTCAGATAAAAGGAAAACGCCCATAAAGGCCAGTAATGAGGACGTGGATAGTATGAAATACAGAAGCGAATATGTATTACAGGGAAATGGTGAGGTATGGGTAAAGCCTAAGCCTACACTCGAAAAGCCTGGTATGCGAGAAGAGTGATAAATATCAGGCGCATAGCTTTTCTCGTAAAAGAGCTTTAGAATATTATTGTGAGATGGAAAAATTAGTACAAAGTTTATTAATTGTAACATAAGTGTTAGGAATAATCCTTAGCATCGAATTTGCAATGCATTATCTATAGCACAACAGCCATTTTTCGCCATAAGCTGCTTTGATCCAGACCCAGTCTCCCAATACCTCACCCAAAGCTCGTCAAACTCTTTCCACCATTCCTCCTCTAGGTCTATTAATGGCCAATAGCGTGTTTTAAAGAGTGCACTAAAGTTTTCCCTTTCATTTTGGTTCATGTCTACCCAGCAAAAATGCATATCAATTCGAAAACTCTGGTCTTGCATTTTTTCCTTAATGTCTGCACGCAAATGGGCTATTTTATCCTCAGATACATTAAACTCATTATTACGCTTGACTGACTGCAAGTGACATCGAATGAACTTAGTGACGGATTTCTTTAAGCCCATTTTGGATATGTATGGAGACTGTAGATATTAAGTGTGTGTAGTAAACGGTGATAATATGATAAGCTCATCTATGGGAGCAGAAGGGAAACAACGTATTGTTAATCAACCAGTTAGGCAATAGGGCTAGCTGGTAAACCATGTAAGTATTGACTCGCAAAATACTTTTACAGATATGCCCAGGATTGAACTCTTTCGCGCACGACGGATCTTCCCTACGGGAAAAAACTATATTAGGCTAATCAAGGGCATTTGCTTACCTTCTTGTCCAGGTAATTTTGGGTCTGCACCAATCCCCTTCATGAGCAGCTGGATTGATCTGCTTGCTGTTGGCTCTAGTATGTGCTAAAGAAAAGTGTCCACTGTATTGCGCCACAAAGTAGGTACTACGCAAAAGTTCCATACCTTGCGGCACAATTTGATCTGGCCAACATCCTATTACTAATGGCTTATTATTATTATTCCAGGTTTTTATACTTTTTCTTCTTCTTTTTTGCCCCGTGTTGTTGCACTGAGTAAAACCTGTTAAAGGTGTGTGTTTATTGGTGTAATATTAGATTATCAGATAGCGCAATGAAGACTGACCCACAAAATGCAACCAACTTAGCCGGGGATGCACCACATGGGCGCTTTAACAGTGCTTCTCATTGGCGTTTTAAATTAGTGCATGTTCGTTCTAAAAATTAACAGGATCTCTTTAAATTAAACAGTCCTAATATTAAGGATTGAACACGCGAATTGCTGTTCCCTGCTGCCATACCTTTTCTTATATAGTTCATTATTCCCACCTATTTGACTTCATGGATTAAGATAACGCTTTAACAACACATCGGCACATCATGGATTCCCAATCGAACCAAGATATCGTTTGCTATGGCGCGGTAAGAGGGGTCAATTGCCTTCAACCGTTCATTTTTATCTTACTGATGCAGAAAGATTAGATTCAATTACCGCGGGTCATTCAGACACCTATGGGAATACAACTCCATTCGTCCACTATAAAGCAATTGGAAGTCATAACAGTTCCAAACATTCAATTATCCTTGATCTTGACAGAGGGAAATGTCGTTTCGTTAAATATCTACGGTCCTCGAAAATATATGTTTTTCATAGCTAGGCAGCTAAACACTATCGATATTTCTCTTGAACACCCACACACGGTTAGAGATGGTGTACAATACCATAATGCTCAATGGCCATATAATCCATACACCAAGAAAAACATGAATGATCATATCAAATTTGACGGCAAGGAGATCATGTTGTGGTCACCATCAGGTGTATATCAGGCTCAAAAAGCGAAAAATAGCTATAAAGCTTTTTTTCTCCGCATATTTAAACCTTAGTATCAGCAAACTAGATACTTGATTCAACGTTAAGTAGTAAGAAAGAAGTTTGTTTACTATTTCAGTAAAAAAAGTTAACATGCGTGTCAACGCGAGTGTAATTGCCATGATATATCATTGTTGCAAAGGCGATTGTTCCTAGCATGTTAAAATTTTAACCATCACCAACTAACAGGGGGTGTGGGACATTGTCGAGTCCGACTGACTCAGGCTTCTAAATGGCCCACGCGAGCGACCCTGCCCAGTAGGCAATATTAATCATCTTATCATCTTACTGTGCGCATTGCATTATCGGGCACGGTATGCACACTCCGCAACTATACATCCGAGTTTTAGTTGTGGCCTTGATTTCTAATTCGACTCGATTCTATGCATGTTGGTTCTTAGTATCATGGGCCTGGACGGTGGATGAGATAAAAAGCCTCACCTGCAAAGTTTGGAGCGGGCTTGCCAAATGCTATTCATCTCACATGATGGTTGTGTCGACGCGAGGCTAGCGTGTGGCGGAATCTGCCCCCGGCCTTACTTATGGAGGCTAGGCTTGTCCCGACGGAACGGATCGCCCGTGTCTTAGCGCTAGTTCATGTTCAGCTCGTCTTGAAATGCACAAGGATTATACGAAGTGACTTCTCACTTTCCCTACTTTGCTACGCAGCTAACAAGCCCAAGGCTCGTAGGATCATTCAGCTCTGTTCCAGGCCTATGAACTAGCTCCGCGTCCTCATCACTCATCAATATTTATCGCCGATCGGCTGTCCAGGCCCCTATGTACCACTCCTGATTTATTTTGTTAGCGTAATCTAGGCCAATGATATGCCTATCTTATGGGAGCTCATTCCATTGACCAAGACACTGCGCCCCTTTATCTGCCCTAGCTCTAGAAACGCGTGGTGTTGGTTGGCTATGTACACTACAACCCTTAATTCCGCAGACCCAGAAAGTGACACCCACTGGTTCCATAAGGCATATTGCAACATGTTATCTAATGTACTAAATGAGCATAGCACTGGCACCCCCCAATCAGCTAATGATGCAATGAATCTTATCCTAACTAAAGCAGCTGGACTCTAAAGTCTTATCATATCTTGTGTGATAAAGTTTCTTTCTCTCAGTATCCTCTCCCACTGAATATCCACCGTGAGGATGGCTTTTGGCCCGTGAGAAGAATGAAGTCAGTATGGAGACCGTAGTTGTCGAGTCCACCGTCTACACCAAGAGCCAAACAACGATCAATCTGCTTAGCGGATTGGCCCATCAGTCGGTCAAAATCATCTTCTCCAAAGCATGATTGAGTAATAAAAAATCCTGGACCTTTCATGGAAATTCTGATGCCCGTTGCATCACGAGCGCCCGGCAGCCGGCTCATAAGCCCACTCAAAGAGCTTACTTGAAAACCGTCCTGAGGTTGCCAGTCGGAAACAAAAGTAACAAATTTGGTGGCTCTCCATACAGTGTATGTGAACTTGGATATCTTGTGTAGGTTCTCGGTATAATCTTTGCTTGCTCTTGAAGTAAAAGATAAGCGAGAGTCTTGATCAATGTGTAGCTTATACGGCGGGCTCGTATTAATAGCTCTGAAGAACAGTTGGGTCATAATACTGTGTATCCTTTTGCGAATTAGTTCTGTTAAAAAGATGTCCAAACCTATTCTTCACTTACTCCGCTTGATTAACAGCATATTTTAGACGTATGGGAGATGCGGGAGTATCCAAGTCCGGCCAAAAATGCCGTCCGCCTCCCAAATCTTCCAAGAATAGTCTGGCCATATCGTTAAAGGCGTCTTTATACACAAACCAATTGCGAAGATCGATGCCTCTTTCACCATCAGAAGATATAAATTCACGTATGAACTTCTCGACACCCTTCTGGAAAACTTCAGACCGGGGGCGGGAAGAAGTCCCGTAGCCTAATTGATCCAAAAGTTGGTCAAATGTAGGAATGAGAAATGCCATTGTTTGGATCAAGGATACTTTGCTCGAAAGATGCCATATTGTTGAGATGGGAATCGGTTCGGGATAATATTGGAGTTAAGTATTAGAGGAGCAGTAACGTAACATTCAAGTGATGACTATCCTAGTGGCGTGAGCTACTCATGATACCGCAAGATTTTTCTTCCTCTCTCATTTCAGGAAAAGGCTAACGCACTCTCACCTCCTCTTCTCCAGCAGCCAACTACGCCTACACCCTCTACCTGCATGTGCGCTTTGCGCCGTCTAATTTCGGGGTGCCCACTATTAACAATCCTTAGGTGGGTACTCCGTGCAGACAGCGGACTCCGTAATGAGGTCCACCACGGCGGCCTACGCCCGGGAAACTGTGTTTGACCGGCGCCAAACTCGAAAATTCGCTCATTTCATTTGTCAAAGTGGTGTGATATAACTGTGATTGGTTACCCCGCATAGCGAAGTGGACATTAGGCACCAATAAAGTCAGAGCATGACGACTTGGGCGGCAATGTTCATTTTCTAGTTGAGGTGTCCACTGTGGCTAAGTGTGATGTTACCCTTCGATGCTATAATCTCAAGGTCCTCCACCATGTTTTAACCATGCATCATTTTCACCAAGACTACTAACTATAAGAATCAGCAGCCAAATGGATTCCCCAAATATCACTAAGCCACGGACAGGGACCTCTTCACCTTCATATCAAGAAGATCCGCCGTCAGAGGAAGTGATGAACCGAATTCTTGCATTAAGAACTGAGAAAGAACGATTAAAGGCAGAACTTGCGGATTCTCATATCAAGATAAAAAAGTTGGCTTCAGAGATCTTGTCGTTACGGGAGTTGGTATGCTTTCACTTGCAGCATCTATTAATATCTTGCTTACTGCGTTTTAGAATATCTGGTATGTAACGAAAGATGCGCATGCCAGAGAGAATCAGAAAACGAGCCAGAGAGAACGCTTCGAAGATGAAGATGTGTCACCAAAGAATACAAAACACGAGGTGGTAGATGTTGGTAAAGCAAGTGGACTCTAAATAATTGGACGCATAAGGTTGACCGGCCTCTTTCTTATAACCCAAAAGCTATATTATTTATTGCTATAGGAATTGGCATACTTCATATAGAAGATATCTTGTCAAATGAACTTATTTGTTATAAGTAATGATAATGGGCTGTAGTGCTTACATTTATTGGAATATTTGTTGAATCACTTGAAAGAATCAACTATATCTCTAGCAACTCGCCCTTTCACCATGGTACGATAAAGAATGCTGTGCGTCGCCGGGCTGTAGCTGGCAAGTAAGATGATCTTAGGAAGGATTAATTGTAACAAACGTAAACATCTTGTCTCTGGGGCAAATACGCACATAATAATTGTCCAATTCACTTTACACAGTACACTTTAAACACGAGTATTCCATATGGTCATAAAGCATTAAACAATTAGAGACTAATGGAATTGTGCTACGCAGTCGCCAGTGTTTTCCCTTACCCCGCTTTGCGATGCAAAATCAAGAATTGCGATCCTCCAGGTGAATCACTTCTAGACTGGTCGTTTCGTTCGACCGACTCATTACTCCGCTTTTCATCGTCTCCACCCGGAGGCCGGTCCTATTAAGACGAAAAGTCCGAGCAAAGCGCCTATCAACAGCTTGAGAGGATCTCTAAATATAGATTGGTAGCTGCCTAGCAATAATCTATTAATAGATAGGATTTCGTGAAGCCTTGGTTTGGATATAAAAGACCCATTACAGCATTGGCAACATATAGCCCATCATCTATCTATTCTTACCAGAGGTTCATCCATTATATACATGTATCATACCATGGCCAGCACTACCCCAACTAAAGAAGACTTTTATTTCATTCCTCTAGATGACAAAAATGTGAGCCTTTCGGCCATACGACATGAGCTTGAGCAGTTTAACCTCTCATTCAGCCTGATTCGGGAAGAAATAATCCTAATGTCACACACCCTGCCACAAATCGACGGCAGGGTCGCTCGACTCATGATGTATAACAAACTACTAATAAATTCAATTGATAAACAAGTAATTACTATATTCTAAGCATTCGGGGCTGCTGCTAATAGTTCACCAGCTATACCCAGATATTCCACAAACGCCTATTACCGCCACTGCGCCACGGGCACCATGGCAAGACGAAATGGATAAGGCAGGACCAGATTACAAATAAATGGGTTAAAATGATTCTACACATGGCAGTAGAATGTGCAATTTAATTACCGTGAAAAGGGTTATGATAAAATAAAGAACTTAGTGTTACATTATTTATGCTTGTACTATGAAGTAAAAGTCGAGGTTATTTTGCAAAATGCACCAGTAATCCATTAACATTATGGCTTTATATTCCCATCTTTCCTTGACTGACAGATAATTGGCATTTGGCTTACGTGTAACCATCTACACATAACGTGAGTAGCTACCTACGTAGAATAATTGCCAAAGGCGCCAAAGCATCTTGACATTTGAGCTGATATAAAACATAATATCCTTACGGATAATTTGATTCCCGCTATTTGTACGTCCACTTTGGAAGGCCACAGTTGACCAAATGAAGAGCACAATCGACACCGACGAGACTGATCTCCTTTACCGCTCTGATGTATGTATTACATCGACAACGGAATTGCTTGATGAGTGGGCGGTTAACAACGCAATGTGGTTGGTTCAAAAGCAGAGACTTAATTTAATTGCTTAACGTAAGTCGCACATTTAGGGCTGGCGTCTAATGGCGGGAATTAAAAAGGATGAGGGTGCAGTGTAAGAAGTAAAGCAATTGAAACCCCGTTCCCCCTTCTCCATTCTCCATTCTCCATTCTCCCTTCCTCCCACCTCTTACTGTATCATTATGCACTACGCACCAACCATGGTATCTACCCCTAGCCTTCCACTTTTCCAGCAGCCAACAATGGCGCACACAGAGCCATGGGATTGTGATGATTCCCCTAGCCCACAGATGCTAAGCAATACACCTATCGCCGGCAAGGCACGCAAAGTGCTTCTCTCATTCGACCAGCTACCGAAATGGCATCAAGACAACGAATTTATTCTTCATGGCTACCGCCCGATTTCAAGTTCGGCTTGGACTTCATTTCACAGCTGGCTATATATTCACAATGAATTTGTTAATATATATTCTCATCTAATACCGGCACTTATTTTTTTACTTGGCGAGTGGTATATTTTGCAGTACCTTATAAGTAAATACCCTAAAATCACTAGCGTTGATATATTTACCTTCAGCTTCTTTCTTTTAACTGCCATTATCTGCCTGGGCCTTTCAACAATATACCATACTCTAATAAACCATTCTTCTAAGGTTGAGCAATTATGGTTGCAATTTGACCTTGTGGGTATAGTTATTTTAATACTAGGAGACTTTATATCAGGGATATATATGGTCTTCTGGTGTGAACCTTTAGAACGTAAGATTTACTGGTCTATGGTAAGTTATTATAATATTCCCCTTCTCTTTCTACTTAATGTTTACTTTAATTAATAGATTGGAATTCTTGGGGTTATAACTATTTTTATTATAGTAAATCCCTATTTCCAAGGTGAAAGATTCCGTACTTTTCGAGCATTTGTATTTATAGGGACAGGCTTATCAGGCTTTGCACCTTTAATACACGGAATTAAAATGTTTGGCTGGTTGCAAATGGTAAAACAGTCTGGATTGCTTTACTACTTATTAGAAGGGGGATTTCTTTTACTTGGGGCTTTATTTTATATTGTGAGTCTTTGACCTTTTTACATACATATGTACTTAAAATTAATTCTAATATTGCAATTTACAGACAAAATTTCCCGAAAGTCGATTTCCAGGCAAATTTGATATATACGGCTCCTCGCATCAAATCTTTCATATTCTAGTTGTCTTCGCAACTGTAGTTCAATTAATTGGGATACTGGAAGCCTTTAACTATAACTACATTCATCGAACATGCTCATCTCACTAAATCATCTGGTTGTATAGAGAATCAGATGACTTTCTCGTGGATGACTCGAAATAGATAATACTTATAGAGCCAGACTAGATTGATATGAGAACAGGCTTGTCTGTTAACTGTTCACATTCACTTATGGCAAATATTATAGTAACAAATGCAAGAAAAGCCACTTCACCGCGTTAGATGAAGGTCATTCCAAAAGCAACTAGTGGCTTGGGTATCTGCAATAATTAGAAACAATAGGTAAATGAGATCCGTCTGTCAACCATATGAAGCCTGGAGTGACAAGTGATTGGCCACAAACGAACAAAAAAAGATATGAGACGTTTCAGCGCGAATTTCTACTACAACACTGTCCAATCCCTCCACGTCTTGAATTCATCGCTCCTCTTCTTGAATGGTCATGTTGACTTTCTTACTATATATTATCCCTAATACTTTCCACCAATAATATCTACAAGGAGATGGGAGTCTACTAAACGAACATGACACTCTTGTCAGAACAATAATGTTGAGCCCTTCCCCTGATACAAGGCGTGGAAAATGGTCTTGGGGTAAAAGAGGAGACTAGGTTGGAAGACTACTAATGAATGCAGATGTAAGCGGCTACTCAAACGCTGAATATTGGACAAAAAGGCCGCGGCCTGAAAGAAAGGACTCAGCCACACAGCGTCAATAGGTATATAAGGCGGGCTTCCTCCCCTCCAGAACATAATTTCTTCCTTTCTTGTATTCATCATCTCTCTGCACTTCTCCTTAGCACAAACACGCTACACGTTGTCTTAGCACAAATATTTCTTGCTTTTCCCATCATGTCATCTTCTGTATCAATCAACGATGTCCAATCTCCAAGACAACGAATGATATCAAAACTGACCGGGATAATGGATAATATTCTTGAACTCTACACCGACACTTCTGATGATATTGACAATCTAAATCGCATTGACATTGGCAATGAGGTTGAGTTATGTGCAATGTTTAAAAACATCATACGAAAGCGGACAGACAATGAGCAAAGTCTTATAGCGTCTTTCGCTATATCCCTGGACTCCTCTTTTAAAGGGTCTGATGAGTTACCGACCGGTCATGAGGGCTTACCAGGCATAGTGGATGACGTATCGGGTGACTCGTCGGAAGAATCCGAGTATTCAAGTTCTGATGAAGCTAGTGACATTGAGTCCGAGCCAGCAGCAGAAGGCGACACTATGGAATACGATAGTGAATTTCGTGATATTCGTCGATGGGCGCTTAGTCGCCAACTTCTTGTTAAAAGTACAGGACACAAATTCAGCGTGGATGCTTTGGAAACGCTCGCGCCAAATGAGTGCTTAAGCATCGACATAGTCATCGCCTGCTTGCACCTTTGTACGAAGTTGCCTGGAGTCCGTGCGGGCTCGTTAATTGCTCTTTATCACAAAGGCTCTAATTCTTTACGTTCCCATCGTCCGTTGGAAAAAGCGGCAAAGCAGATTGCCGCTTGGGATGAAGCGGAAAAATGCCCTCGGAAAGTTTATTTTTTCCCACTACTTCATTACAACAACTCTTTTAGTCTTCTTGAAGTCGACATTAAAGAGCGCTATATACATCATTATGACCCCATATGGACTGCGAGAAGCAGAATGGATGTTAGGGCAAGTTACATTATATGCATCTACAGGCTTACGCTAACTTAAATTAGGATGCGTGTATGGAACAATTTCCAACGTTTAAATATGCTGTCAAGGTAAGCTCACCCTTTACGAAACTAAGACATTTTGCTAACCTCACTAGTATGGAATAATGCAGCCTGATAGCCAAAGCTGTGGGCTTGCTATAATTGGATATGCTTGTATACGCATGCTTGGTTACCCAACAACCCCTGCAGACTTTGATGTTATTGCGTTTAGGCTACAAGCAGTTTTCATCTTAAATTCTGCGTGGAAAAGGGGAGAGTTATTAGACGCTTCAATGCCTCTGCCGAAAAGACAAGGGCTATCTCAGCCGGCAAAAGTGCGAGACAATAAGCGACAGAAGCATTGATCAAAAGCTTAGGTAGTGCTAATAGAATTTTATAACAATCTTATGTTAATGAAAAATGGGAATAACACCGTCATGAATGTGACAATATAAACTCAGAGCCTTAGCAAAGCAAATTCTCCTTAAAGATACGCAATTTCAATATAATATACTTTCGATTAAACTTAAATTATTGAACTATTATAGTATATTTAAATAATGAAATTTCTTATATTTTGTAAATTAGAATACCCATGACCACGGAGTTGCATCACGTAGATTGCAACACACGGTTCCGGATCTTGCTAGAACAATCATCTGCCAGCCTTGCTTCATTACATTTCTTCCGACTGAACTCTGAAAACCCTTTGATCTCATTGGATCGGGACTCTGGGTATCTAATGACACCATATTACCCAGACGTCTTTGTTGGTATCCTGGTAATTCTGAAATGTGTTCTATAAATGTTTTTCTGCACGTCCGAAAACTCTGTTCCCAATCGCTGCTGATATCTAAAATTCTCCCGCCGCTCTCTACCCAGGATACACCGTGCAAATTCTTTCGTCTATCGTCAAGCCAACGATCCAGTATCTCATAGTTATGCTGAGATATGAAGGATCGCCATAGTTCTCCATAATCCAAGAAAAGGGACTCGTTATCGCCAAATCTTCTTATTCTTGTAGTGGAAGTATTTGCTTGCGTAAATGTAAAGCTTTTACTTTGGTATTTTCCCATTGTTCGCCCGCCATTAACAGTATTGTAATTTGTCGTGGGTTCCCAGAGTATCGAATGCTTAACGCTGGCTTGTTGGTAGTACATGTGAGCTGCACACCAGCCCCCGATGAATGCTTGTAAGTGGCTGGCATAGTAATTTTTCATAAATTCCAGACATCCTGTTATGCCTTTATCGTAGCAACCTATAATTAGGTCAACGTTCTCGACACCTCGGGCTGTGGAAATCGTTCCGTGCAAAACACTGAATGGCCTGCCAAATGAATCTTCGTAGGTTGTATCTTCGTAACTCAGAGTTTCCTCATTCGGAAAAATATTAATTTCCCCATTTTCTTGAAGCTGTATTGTAAAACTGTTGGAGCTGACATGATCCATATGGAAGCCCATGTCAAATTGACGTAAAACAGAACACAGCTTCTCTCCTAGCAGATATGCCGGTCTCTCTAGAGGAGCATGCGCCCACGTGCTTAAGGCTATCATCTTTCTTCGGCTGACAGTTACGATACCCTTTTCTTGTAAATCTTCAATAATGTCCTGCCCGTATAGTTCCCAAGTGACACCACTAATGCTCAAAGCAGTAACCATATCCGCCACAGACTCCTTGTAGCCTGGAACAATGAGCTCCCAGCGAGCATTAGGCGGAGCTGAGCCTGGAATAAAAAATTCCACGGCACGGGGCCCGGTAAAACCACCGCCAACATCGAACGTAACAGACAAGAGTGTAGTAACATATTTAAACGTAGCTGAAAGGTAGCCGAGAGGATTCATTCGTTCCTGGCAGCTAGCATGCAAGTCTTGGCTAAGAGGAAAGTTCTCCTTTAGTATGTTAACATCACTTATACTGAGCTTTTTGATGACTTGAGATATGGCGTTGACATTCATGTTGGTGGCGTGAGTAGAAAGCATGATGAAATATAAATTTGTTGAGTGCTTATTTGTGCATTAAGAAATAATAATTGAATTGATATATTGCTGTATTTGTAAGTACATCAAGTGATCATATATATAATTATTTACGTAGGGTAGCTCAGAAAATGTGGCGCAAAGAAATTACTGGTAGTACTAAATTTCGTCGTGGTCTTAATTTAACCTATTTGTACTAAACTAAGCGTTGAATCTTTTGAATGTCCTAAAATAAAGCGGCTTGTGACTGGTAAGTTGGCATGTGTTAAATTTAGTACTGGTGTTATAATTGGCCAGGGCAACGGCGAGGGTACTGGTAACCTGCGCCTCCAACAGTGGGTGGTTAGGGTGCTATAATTAGGGAGAAGCTTTTGGTGGCTGGTAACTAAAACACAAGAGGGCCTGTAGCGGCTGGTAACCATGGATGCAGCGAGCGGTACAGTAACCAGTAACATTGGTGTAGTGGGTTACTGAGTAACCAGTAACGTGCAAAATTCTTAATTACAGGTTACCAGTACGTCTGGGCTACCAGTAACTTTTCACAGGGGAGTTACTGGCTACCCCCCGATACCAGCAACTGCTGCAGAGAGGAAGCATTAATTACCAGCCACTATGTGCTTCTTTTACAGCCTGTTACTAGTCACTGGGCAAGTTCTCCGCGCTATAGTTACTAGTCACCGATCAATCCGCGGCAGCGTAATTACCAGTTACTGCATACCCTCCTACTCTATTCCTATTTTAAATTTCTCTGTATTGGAGGCGTACATTACCAGCAACGAAAGCATATTTCTTTGCGTGTCTCTTATGTATCTTATTTATCTGTGCTAAATGCATTTAATTACTGGTAACTATAATACTATAAAATATCTACAATAAATGCTTTATAGTTAGATTATACTGGTACCTATACATTATCTCTACTATTCACCCAATCATTGTGCGGCTGTGAAATTATACCTTATTTTATTTTATTTTAGTTGCTATTTTGGCAGCCACTTGATTCTTAAAATCACGCACCTTACTACTTGAAATAATTTCGTGGCTATAAGACGCTATGGCAGGTTCGGGAGCCCCCTCTGCGATGGATAGTAGAGTATGTTATCCAAGCTTTTTAGGAGTGACAGACACGTGCAAAACCTCGAGTACGCGAACGGAGCAACGTCGGTAGTAGCCCAGTTACCCCGCCAACTATGCACGGGCTTGTGGTGAGCATTTTAACATGTTTGATCTCTTTCATGAACATACTCCCTTTTTCTAAGGATAATTTCCGTTGCTGTCTCACCACGACCATCGCCATGTCGAACGCGTCTGTGACACCGCCGATGCGCGTATCCGGATGGAATATCCATTTTTTAGCTACGTCCGCAGGCGTCCGATTTGCTGGCCTGTTCCGGCTTGATGGTTTCGATATTACCTACCGCGACGTCTTAACTGAGATGCGTTTATGCTTCGATATACCAGACAGTATATCTCAAGATGGACAGACTAATAGCCAGGATGAATATGAAGATCCCTGGGATAATCTTGCCTTTGCATTTACCGATTACGTGAATCTACCTGCGGGCGAGGCGTCTAATCCTCCTGCCACTATTATGACTACCGATCTTGACCAGCTGGTGCCTCTTCCTCCGCCTGCATTGCCAACGAACGTAGAGGAGCCACCTATTATACGTTTTCGCCTTGTTCGTCACCGCTCCTGCGACCTACCGAGCACTGCACCATGGGCATCACACTTTAAAGGTTTGCTTTGAGTAGCTATATCATATTCTGTCCTACCGGCTAACTATATATCAAGGTGGCTGCGCGCATCATATCCCACTACCTACACGCCGTAGAGATCCCCGCTACCTCCCTCCCAAAATGTCCTCGACTGATCCCCGAATCACTTCTTTGCCACTTCGAAAGAGAGCAGCAGTACAGAGAAGCTCACGATCGCCCTCCAAGCGCTCCGCATCCGGCTCTGTGTCCCCTGATAAGAACTCTGAGTCAGGCCAGCTGCCCGTGCATGAAGAGGAATCTTTGGCCAACATGGTAGCGCCGCCTGAAATGGAGATCGCACCCGACTTCGGCCGTCAGACTATCGCGAAATTTCGATCGTCCCTTCTTACGTTCGCTCGACGGTGTGCTGTATCAGGCAAGGGTCGGACTTGGTGTTATAGCCCTGCTATCGGCCCTGCCGTACAGGCATGCCACATCGTCCCTCAACAGCACTATCACCTATATCCTGATCCTCTTCTTGACCCTCAGAGCGATAATGGTCTCGAGCTTAGTCCACAGCGTCTGCTCAAGGCTTGGGAATGCACCTGGGCTTTCCGCAATGGCATTCTTTTACTGAGTCACCTCCATGAACTCTTCGACTCTAGGCTATTCTCTATCCACCCAGATACATTGCAGATCCGCGCCTTTGTGCCCTACGATGTCATCTGCGACTATCACGGGCGTACAGCCGCGCTGGGGGCTTATGTTGATCGCAATGCCTTGCGCCATCATTACGAGATGTGCTGTATCGAGAATATGGCTGCCGAGATGCCATTACGGGACCAGCTTTTTGCATCTGAAACTGAGCCGACCACGCCCAGCACGGTATCGCTTATTAATACTAGGGCGACATACCAATTCATATCGACTTCAATAGGTATACGTGAACAGCTGCACTCTGGAGATAATGATCAGTCAACTCGGCGCCCTTCTGGTGACCCGTCTAAAAGGGTGCGAGCTGTAAGTATATATGAAGAAGAGGACGGAATATCGGTTCTAGATGCACCAGACGAAGCAGTTTACGAGCCTACACAAAAGAGAAGACGGCTTGAAGAATCACTTGGGGATTGTGGTGGAAATATAAGCTCCCAATCAGCTTACGATAGCTATATAAAGCCCACTACCTCAGAGTATTTCCTCGCTGATGTGAACTGGAAATTAAAGAAATTCACATCTACTTAGGTTTGAGTACCGGAGTTAGAGGCAATGTTACAATCGACAAGCAACATGTACAATGACAAGTTAACATTATATTGTACTCTTGAAGCGGCGCCTTGGGAGCAAAGAGTTTCGTTAGTGCAGGGCAGCTTTTACGTATGGTGGTCAAAAATTAGTCATATGACAAAGTATACTGCAACTATTATTTGTTTTGACATATTCAAGCCTATAGTGTGGCATTAAAACTTCTTCCCGTAAAGTTGCCTTGTGGTTATATTTATTTTCCACCTGCTATTCTTATTAATGTAATACTGGGAGCGGTAATTTAGCGGGGAAGATGCGCAAACTATATCACAGTCACGATGTTTCTGGCCATATGCACAATTTCAATATCCAACTTCCTGAGATCCTCGACAATCGTGAGGCTAGCCATCATGTCTTATATTAAGTCAAGCTGATCTTGCAAAACTATACAATAAAGTCATGAAGAAAGGTTTACACCGCCTCTGTCCATCCATGCTTTCAACTAACCATCTCTGTCAATTCTGAGCTGCGCCCCTGAGGGGCACAAGAACGTGAATACCTATGCGATATTAGCGAGCGTCAAGTCTGCTTTGCGTCAACTCACGAGACTCCGTATTAGGAGCTGAATATGTAGCTGACCTAACGTAGCTAGCTTCGGCAGCCATCGATTCAATAGATTGCTGGCTGTACTTATAGGCCTTAAATATGTTGAATCGAGTGTTTTTTTCGATGAGTACTTTCTCTTCTTCCGCTGTATCCTCGTTGAAGATGAACTCCATAACTTTTGTAGCTACTAATTGCAATGCCACATGGGAAGCAGGCCCGTGGACGATGCAAACTTCTGACTGCCATCCCTCATTTTGAAGTATGGCGCGATCTGTGTTGTGATCGATACTATTCAACATGTTATCCAGCTCACCACAACCCTTGTTGATGAATTTGTCGAAGGCGGGTGTAGTGTATGAGGAGCGGATACTGTCGTCTGTATTTCCGTCTTGACCTATAATTATTTTGTCCGTAATATGTGCCAAATCTCGTAATATTTTGTTATTCACTTCCGGTGAGTTGTTGAAGAGGGTAGATCCTAATGACAGGACGTGTCCAAGATGAAGGTGGTTTTCGGTAGCGTAACTAGGAGCTGATTCAAATGAACCTCGCCAGCATTGAATATGAAGGTGAGGGTAAAGCTTGGTTATCCTTGCTCCAAGCTTCGCGATGGCGTCTCGATCCGTGTCCACCATTCGATATATATTTAATTTTTTAGCCAATTTTAGCATCTCCATTGTTTTGTTTCCATCACTATTAATATTAGAATCGTGAATACACCATACCAGTGTTATAACTTACCCAGGGCCAAACTCAGTTAAAACTGAACAGTCTTTAACTTCAGATTCAATGTTTCGGCTGTTAATAGAAATGATACGAAGCTCGTCGCTTGTTTGTGGAGACTCTTGGCTGACAGCCTCCCACTCATTCTCTGGTCCATAAAATGCGGGAGCCTTCAATGTGTGCCAGTCGTCGTGACCCTTGATATTTTGGAGTATAAGAGAAGCAAAAGTGCCCCCGAGTCGATTGGCGGGAAGCTCAACCCATTTCAACGGGCTTCCAGTAGATTGAGAAAACATAGTAGAGAGCCACGCACCCATAATACTGAAGCAGTGTGTGCTTGCAAACTGCTGAAGTCTGTGTAGGGAAAGGATTGGTATATAATTGTTTCAAGAAACCACAGAGAACCACACATTTTATATATTGGATGCCCGATCCCTCTGCCAAGTAGGGCGAGGGGTACGTATCTGCTGCGCACATATATCACTTCCATTTCTTAGACATATATTAATGATACCATATAGCGGCGACTGGGTACATCGTCTTTTGAAGAGCCAAGAAATCGAAGGCGCTAACTGCGTCCCTAGCGAGTTTTACTGTATAAGTACGATAGTGTAAAGGTTTTGAACGAATGGTAAGTACAATCTCATTGCGTGGTATGCCAAAGGAGTAGCATGTGCGCCGTGAAACAATAATTGCGTGAGGTTATCCGGTCTACACACAACACTCCAACATAGTTATTCCATCCTGCACACCATTGTCAATCAATTTACTGCGACTAGGGCTGGGCTATAGAAGCTCATGAGACCCACCCATCCACCTCTCCCCTGGTTCTCAGCTCATTTGACTGGAATGTCTTGCTGAACACGTCACGGTCTAGAAAGACCAAGGCACACTAGGCTTGCGAGAGACGAGGATCCCGTTATTTGGTGACCAGCGTCGTCGCCATCATGCCAAAAGTTAAATGGGGCTACTAAGCAAATGTAGGCTCACACTGGTTGGGAAAAAAAATCGCTCATAAATATTACGAACCTAAGAGATGGACTCAAATGGGCCCATTCACAACGCAAAAGTTCCCGCGTGGTCTTATGGGACTATTGAATAAGTTCCCTGCAGTTCAGGGCTCATGAAACCTTGCGTGTTCTGCGCCCCCTCGGCTAATGAGACTTCTAAAGTCCGCTAAACCCGACCGATGCAAAAGTTCCCGTGTGATCCTTCATCTCGTGAGATGCGTATGGTCTTCAAGTCTCATGAGACTATTGAATAAGCAGCCTGAGGTTCTAGGCTCATGAAACTTCATACGTGGCCTCTCGGCTTATGAGATTTCCAAAGTCCGCTAAGTCCACGCGACGACGGTTGCAAAGGTTCCCTGCACAGCTTGTTGTCACAGTGCTTTATTTTAGGCACACGAGACATCTCATATTTGCTAATCATACGGCCCACTGGCAGGAAGTTATCGGGCTTGAGATTTATCCCATTCATGCCAGAACGAAGGGTCAATCCATGAGATTATGAAACAGAGGCCTTAGACGATATGTCTGATCATAATCATGGTTCATTTGTTTCTACCTAGCCATATAGTCGTATATAGTAATCAATAGGATACGTTCTGGCCTGATCATCCCCATCTTTTGCTAGCCGATCTGCAATAACTAAAACCTTTGACAATGTTTCCATCCTCACCTGTTTCGATACTTCATAACGAAAATATACATTCTCATTCCAGTTCCAATCCACTCCTCCCCATTCCTTAAAGATTTGGTACTCTTTCATAACATTGTATCCTTCTGGAACTGGACTACGAGTCCAGTATGTGTCTGGCGAGTCAGCGAAAGCAACCGGTATTACGCAAAGTGTATCTCTTACTAAGCCCATAATAATTTGGTAGAACTACGTAATCATCTTTGAGAGACTTTGAGATGAATATGAGGAAAGATGTTACATTGTCCATAATAGGAATTGGTGATCGATATGAAGAACATTTGCAGACTTTGATGTTATTGTGCCGGGGGTGAACCTCTTATGTACTTTTCATGTCTAAAATGATCCATAAATCTCCCCGCGTTGCTTTTGCGTGCCCCGTCAGTACATTACTACGCTAATGTGTAATGGACTAAGACATCCGTCCTGCTTTCCTGACTCATACGTCTCATACTCGCGCCCTCCTTTCTCACGCGTATGTGTATGCACACTCCGTTCAATTGAGCCGTCCTTAGAATCCTCTATGATAATCACTGTGGTGATGCAGATTTGAGATACTTCAGGGTTTGGTCCGCCCTGTGCGGTGATCTGAAATTGTCAGTTTTCTGCACAATGATGAAAAATAGTCTACTATACCCTGACACTTTCCCCAAACCGAGGCTTATAATAAGTCATTATCACAAGATGTCTACTTGGTAATATTCTGCAGGAACTCCAACCGCTACTACGTGGAATCGAGTATAGCTTTATATAGACCTTCACGGTATATTTTGAAGCATTCTCCTTGTCATTTGGCCAGGTACTTTAGGTATAAACCCATGCTCCCTAACGCGAGAGTCTCATTTCCAGTCTCATTTCCCACACCTCTGTCCACTGACACACCTTACACGCCATCCTTTCTGACGATGGCTAAGCCCCCCAGTCAGGTCCAGGTAACCTGAAGCGGGTCGTTTTTAGCACCGAGCATGCAACCTTGTGTCACGCTAAGAAGAGCGCGGGTTCAGCTTCCATGTCCCCGTAGCCATTCATCGATTGCCACGCAATTCCAGTCTTAGCCACTAGCGGACGGCACGCTCCCAGAGCAAATGTGGATAGCTACGGGCATCCAACATACATACAAGTACTGATGTATCACAAAAAGGAGAAAAGCTAAAAATGAAAATATAGACTGGTAGTGTGATAGGCCATGCTCTTTACGATGGTCCAGATTGTATTTTGACTTACGGAGAAGTTCCGTCTTGGCCCGATAACTGAGGGAAAGATTGGAGCTTACTACCTGTTCATACAAATGTACGTAAGGGGAAGTTAAACAGTATATATGTTAAATAGGCGCACATGCTATTAACAATCGCATGTGGTAATAATAATATACATGTAGTCCTGAAAACTCATCGATTATTCTAATGTAGGTGCTTGTAGGGCTCCAAATCTACCCGGCCTTACCCGCGCTGTTTAAAAATGATTGCAAAAGCATTGGTCATATGTTTATCGATAACAGGCCCCCTAAGTAAAACGCAAGACCAACCTTACCCAACGCTTACCGCAACATATCTACCGATAAAGCAACAGATGATCCTACACTGGAGCGTGCTTTAAATTTTGAGGCGATGTCTTCTAGTTCCGGAGGCCGAGCGCCGATGCTTACTGACTCTGGCAAAAAAAAAATAGATATACTGCTCAGTAATCTGCCTGGTGATGAAGACTGGTTTAGGGATGAAAGCGACGTTCAGGCACTGCGTGAGCGACTTACAAGTGCTCGAATATCTCGTGAAATGAGATGGTGCGATATTTTTATAGAATATCATAACTTATTAGAGGAGCTTGTCGATGGTTCGTTTGAAAATGAGGCCCGCTATTTAATGATTATAATAATTGCTACGGGCGTGGTGGCAATCGAGTCGGCGCCAAGACGGCACACCAACGAGCACAACCAACTCAAAGAGGTTGTGTACAGTGCGATAAGACGATGTTTCCGGAAGATGGGATCAGTAGGCAAATTGGACAATAAGTTTATACAGCGACATTTGGGCAGAGCGCGGGATGGCACCCAGCTACTGAAGTCACTCGACTGTCATCCTTTCTTTTCGCGTATCTACGAGCTTCCATATCTAGGTATGAGTCATCGATTACTTCATCCGAGATTGTGTACTGACGAACGGCAGTCCCTGTGATGCTGTCGCTGTTTTTAAGTCTAAGTTATAAGGGTAGCAAAGATTACATCAGACAAGAAATACTGGCCAGAGCATCAATACCGCCTCAAATTTGGGACTCAGCTAGTATCTCTATACCGGATTTGGTGAACTCTAATCTCAAGGGCAAAGTAAGGTGAGCTAAATCACTCCATGGTCATGCTTTAGCACCGACTAACATAAAACATAGCCTTGCGGCAATACACAACTTATTGGACAAACCAGGCACTCGTCAAGTTGTCGCTGCATTAGACGAGTTTTGGCTTATTGGATAGTCAGATAGGACAAAGCGAATATTTCCTCCCGGTACAGAAAAGCCTATATCACTTTGAAGACACAATACTTCGTCTGGCCGCCACTCAGCTGCATGTTCCAATAGCCGCATAAGCAACGGATCTACTTGTTCAAAAACAATAGTGCATGCATTAGCGAATATAGGTAGTAGGAGGTGTACTCGATCTTTTAGTAAGTGAAATGTACTGTTTTGATTGAGCTGCACCGTGTCCTGGTGTGCCGGAGACGTCACATGCACTGCTAGTCCTTGACTTGAGAAATGCATTTTAAGAGCCTCTTGCTAGAGATTTGTTAGCAAAGTCTTAATTTTCAACACTCAAATACTGACCAAGCTTTGAAGAACAGCATCAGCGTAAGTTTGACACGCACTTGGCATACCAAAGTTATGTAGTGCTGCTGGAGCATTTAGATCACGTATAGCGCTCTCGATAGGCTCCCCCGGAGCAAGTACTTGGGGTAACATAGATTTCCTAATAGGGGCCGTAATGACTTCAGATATAGCATCATCTCTGAGCCCATTGAATATAGGGTCAAAGCGCAAGAGTTTATAAGGGGCAAGAGGCATTGCTTGTGTGTAACACTTATGGAGGAATTACAAGGCTTGAGGATATGAGGTATTACCCCGCAGCGTCTCGAGACCCCGCATCACGTGATGCCGGATAATGAAAGAGACTGCCTTGCATATTGCCAAGAAGAAGATGGTGATGAAAAGAGATGATGATGATCTATCTAGAACATGAGAGATAAAAAAAGATATATATATACGTTCAGGGCTTCACGAATGGAATAAATACTTTATTGGTGTCGCAAATTCAGGCTTGCAGCATCAGGTTACGGGAGCTCTTATGTGCAACACATAATACATAGAGTAAAGCTACATGTTAATCCCCAGATCTTGTCAATAGCTTCCAAACCCAACTGTAACAGTATACTTCATGTACCCTGGCTATACATTTTATCCTCCAATAGTTTATGATACTTTGTCTTGAAGTCATCCATCTTCTCACTTGTTTCCATTGCTATCTCTATGATTATCTCTGCGGCTTTAAGAATTTTCGCTTTGTCTTCCTCCTCAAACGCTACTATCAAAGTGTTCACGGCGTCTGACAATTCTTTTTCGTTTTTCACCAGCTTTTTGTTGAAATACTCTTTCATAGAATCGGATATTGGGTTTTTCTTTTTTGTTAATGTCATCTAACTAAATTAGAAACTCAAGTCACCCGTGTGAGGATATTATAATACCTTTGAATAAATGTCCTTGCTAATACAGTAGAGAAGAACAATAGCCAAAAAAACCGTCTTGAGGTGCTGTGTATATTACTGCTGCACATAGATGGCAATGAGATGTTAAAGAATCGCCTATTTATATTTAAAATAACTGGTCAGAGGCCCCGCTCCAAGTTACCCAGGCTTGGCGCAGCACTACTATCACACACAATATATACTATTAAGGGATTTACTGCCCCCTAATCTCGTATAGTGAGCCAGTAGGATCGCTATCCGGACCATGTGCTAATGCTCTACTCCACCAATAATAAAACTATACCAATTTTGGGATATTGTCTTAGAAAACTACAGTGCGAGTGGGTGGGCGAGCCATGACTCTGTGTAGATAAGGATGTGTCATATGTACAAGTTTTTTCTGTTGTCAAGTATAAGATAATATTCAGATCCTTTCAATTACTTATCGAAAACTTTGCTTCAGCTATATTCATTCAGCTATATTCACTCTTGAAATGGAATTCGCACCAACTACAGCTAGCCCTCTGCACCATTCTGTCGACAACAGCTTTGTTGTCGATACCTTTACAGAACTCTCGCGTTACTATCCTATCATGTCAAAGACCGCTATTTCTAAAATTTCAATCGACGATCCCAATCGCCATCCTGTCACTGAGCTTATGATCTCCTTCGCAACAAGAAAGAACTCGGAAATGAACTCACAGAAGACAACTCTGCATCTTATTCCACCTTATGTCTGTGAAAGTGATATAGAGATGATACGGTATTCGGTTCTCAGCGCCCTCTTCTATTCGTATCAGAATGAGCATCATCTTGCACAAGAAGCATGCAACACAACTGAGCACTATTTCAGTTGGATCTCAGAGTATCTCATTCGGATGAACCCTGAACTACTTTCACTACTCTGGAGTCATACTCTTCTTGTTATGTATGAACCCTTTACCCAACCATGAACTTTCAATGCTAACGTCTGAAGCTCTTACCTTCACTGTCAAGAACAAGCTCCGACAAGTTTATTAGTCCTGGAGTCTTTATCTCCTCTTTCTACGAGTCTGTTAGAAGATTATCAGCTAAGCTCAAAAGATTTCAAAAGCCACCAACAGAGAGTACACATAATGCTATTTCGTAAGGACGAGGAACCCATCAATGACTTGGTCAATTCGAACAATCGGTTTTTTTGGTTAGAAGGGAGAACAGCGTCCGGTTACAGACATATTGAGAATATTATAACAAAGTGTCGAAAAGAACCAAGTGGCACTGCCATATCATGGATGCGCGATGTGTTAGAATACATTCACATGATGCAGGAGGCCTCATTCGCATCCCTCCAGCGACGCTTGCAGTATCGCTACCAGTAAGGACGAGCACCCTCACACGATGTTCGCACATACTAATTGTATATAGAGAATGCAATTATCTAATTGCAATCACGAAGTGCTGGGTGAATAAATATGGTGGATTGGAGGTAATGCCTGGTTTTGTAATACAGAAATTGTTGGACAAGGCAGTCGCGTTAAATGAAAACTGTCCCGAGGATCTGAAGGCTGCCCGAGATAACTTCCGGAAAGAAGATAAGGCTAGAGGAGGTCCATGGGTGTTTCCTAAATTTGAGCATGCTCAGGTAAATACGCATGTAAAGGAGGGTTTATGAGGCATGTATGCTCGGTTGTGTAATTAGGCTAGTAAGATTCCATATGCTGTAGTAAACATTTACGACTTCTTCCACAAGTTGCAATAGGCTCGTAAGCCCTTTTTCAAAATTAGAAAATTTCCAGCAGTCTCGTAAGCCCAAAGAATGCTTTCAGCTAGTGAGACGGGTAGTATTTCTGAGCACAATTACAAGCTGTTAAAAGCGGGGTGCTTATTAGTCTTGTAAGCCAGGGAGGGGGTGGGGAGGCGCAAGGTTTTATTAGCTTATGCAGGGAACTTTGGCTAGTCTTATAATACACAGAGATATTATAAATCTCATAAGCCTAAATGTTACTACAAGCTGCAGCTCGGCATGTTAGTGTTGATAAAGTTAAGTTACTACTATAGGCCCTTTAAAACATACTTTGCTAAATGGAATAATGCTACAATAGGTGTAATTATAAAAAAAGCCAACGCAGGAAGAGGTAATTGCTGCCTAATAGTAACATAACAGATTACTATATAATTGGTATGCCAGGGAAGCGGCTGTAGGATTAACAGCAGCGCTGAAATAGATAAATTTTTGAAGAAGACTTCCCCTTCGCCCTAAACCAAGGCCAAGCCTCGCGCGCTTTGCGTAGTATTGCCAGTGTTCATTTTTACATCAGCCTAGTATTCCATGTTATACCCTCAATGGATTTTCTGCTTTTAGGTTCCCGCAGTGCCTAACCAAGCAGCGTAAGGTAATGGTTAATACTAAGACGCTCGTTAAATTCTGTCCTGCATTTATATAAGCTCTAATCTTACCGAGAGAAATCATCTGAGGAAGGGAAGTATCCTTGAATATCTAACTCTCTTCCCAGACCTTCTACATCTCCTTGAAATTTGACGTCTTTCAACAATTTATTTAAGGCTTTAAGGAAATCTTTGTCTGATAATACTAGGCAGTCTTTTAGACGCTCATTGAGCTTCTGTAGGCGCTCCCAGTTGGTGCCTGTTGGTGCTTGCTTCATTCTTTCTTCCATCCTTTCTATAGCCGAGTTTGTAGTTGTCATAGTCTCATTGTCCGGGATCAGATCTATTCTCTTACATCTTGCAAATAATATCGCTGTTAGGAGCCTTTCAGCCATATTGTAAGATTAAGGATAAAAGACTAAGTAGGTTAGGGATATTTATTTTAATGTCGGTAAAAGAGATTCTGGAGGCTATTAAAATATAAGAAAGTGTACTGTCTAGCACCCTTATATTTGTAGATTGCATCAACAGCATGTTACGTTTAAGCTATATATAGTTTACTTCTCCATAAATTCACTGAAGTTCAAACTCTATCCTTGTCACTATAAAACCCTTTGTTACATTTTCCATTAATTTATTTCTATTAAATTAAATGCTTTACTAAGCGAGCATGCTTCATGTCCACTTATTATGCGGTTAGTACTGCCATGCATGAGGTATAGCTAAATTATTACATATTGTATTACATTTCATATCGTATATATGTCCTTGTTTTTAGGTCCAGGATGCGTGTACATACTTCGCCTATAGTTGTCTTACAAGATAATATAAGGCGCAAAACGTATGGAGCTTTAATTTTAACTGAAGCATAAAATGTATAGCTTTCACGAGGCATATGAAGGGGAATTTTAGTCTCATAATCTAGTAGGGTATTATTGCCATACCAAAAATTCCCGAGCTGGGTTATGCTCGTAAGTCCCCTTTGGAAGACCAGAATTTTCCAGTCGTCTCATAAGCCCAGAGAGCGCAGTAGGACTGTGTTCGGCTAATGAGACAAGAAGCAGCTAAATATGCGGGAACTTTCAATAGTCTCAGCGTAAGCTCGTATTTACAAGCTGTTGGGCTAATGAGCCCCCTTTTCAAAAGCGGGGTGTTTGATTCGTCTTATAAGCCCAGTGGATGCAGGGGCTCGTTGGTTGCATTAGCCTAATATTGATCTATCTATGCGGGGAACTTTTGCTAGGCTTATTATATAGCTCATGAGACTGAATATCGCGGCAGGATCTTGCAAGCCGCGCCTTGGCGTAGGACAGTTTTTTGTTGGTTGCATTAGCCTAAGTAGCCAATGCAGGGAACTTTAACGCATCTTATAACCCTGATTAGTGCGGCAGGATATTGCAAGTGGGAGCATGGCGTATTACCGCGTGAGAGGCAAAATTGCTGTTAAGCTGCTACGTCAGAGTAAATGCCCCTTAAGTTGTATGTCAACCAGTAGGGTTAAAATCCGACATTAAATACTGATAAATAGTGTCATTTCGCATTATAGTTCTTCGGCCTTAATACAGAGCTATTAACCAGCTTGACGCGGATGTTGCAGTGTCGGCTGTTAATAACACAACTCTGGAAAGATAAAATTCACTTGGCTAAATTACATTTTCCAGATATATCTTTATCGCATTTACATCCCCATGTTCTCTATTGTCCATAAAGCTATATAAAAGTTACCAGTTATTCTTCTTGGAATCTTGTAAGTTATCTTGAATTATTTCTGTTTTAAACATTAGCTAACCCCTACTAGTATACAGCTGGCATTATGCAAACGCATTGCCCTGAGCCTCTCTGTCAGGCTGTTTCTGACAGCAAGGACGCCATGATTGCACATCTAAAAGACACACACAAAAGCCTTCCCTTTTCTTGCAGATGTTATAAATGCCCAAAGAAATTCAGGACTCTTGAAGGTCTAAACTATCATTGTTTTCATTCGGGCCATGATGGCATCGGCGGACACAATATTTACAAAGTGTATTGCAATTATTGCCAGCAACCCTTTCAATTCTACAGCTGGTCCCGGAATTTCCACATACGTCGTCATCTTGAATTGCAAGATATCAGCCAAGCTGAGGAAGTCATTCCTTCAGCTCCTGTAGCGCTAATAACATCGTGGGTTTGCAAAGCACCAGAAACATGTGATCAACCTTCACAACCTACTGTCTCTTTATCCGATTGTTCTCACTGCGCCGTTGGGAAGCCTTGGAAGAGATCAGAACACGCTAAACGACATCTTCGCCAAGTTCATTTTCAGGGACCAATATCTTCATCGTTCTTGAATGATTGGATTCGTAAAATTATAATAGTAGCGAATAGCAATAAAACGGATACCCCTGCATTGAACGACGAGGAGGATGGGGAAGATGAGGAAGAAGAGGTAGGAGGAGAAGAATCCCAAGGAGAAATAGAGTGGTTTTGGATTTGCAGAGAGCCGGAAAAACGCAATGAAGCATCTCTACATCCTACAAAGCTTTTATCAAGCTGTAAGGCCTGTGAGAAACCACATTGTTATACTTTTCCAAGTAGTGCTCGACGGCATCTTCGCATGTTTCATTTTGAATCTAGTGTCGAGTCACTCCCTGCAAGGTTATTGGATGACTGGATATGCAAAGTCCAGCGACCAGCATATATGGACATGTGGAATATTATGTCGAGAGACAAAGAAGAGAAAAATATCACACAGCTTACGGCCAGCATGGCACCGCCGGTGGCTTTCGCCAACCAACCTTATTATGAACCAACAAAAGCTCAAGGAACTGAAAAATCAATAAATTTACCTCCAATCTGTCATACTCTAGACCCTAGTCCTGTCAACATGTTTATACTCCCTCCGATACGGGATCATCTCGGTTGGGCACTGCATCTTCCAATCTCAAATAGAAGAGTACCAGATAGAACGGCAGAGGAATAATATATGTAAGCGGCTATAAATATAATTATATTAAATAAATAACTCGGCCTCTGAATTTAAATTCATTTGTACATGAAGAAATGAAAACGCTTTAATAGAATTCTACATTAAATGTCAATTTCGATGTCGTGTTCTAACAACCATCTCACGATGCTTGGCTTTCTTTAATCGTCTGCGTAAGACTTGCTCGTGTGATCTAAGTGCTACCCCATGATCAGATTTGACGTGTGCCCTGAAATGATCTAAATGCTTGAACTTCCGGTCTCCGCACGCAGGATGTTTACAAATAATCGGCTCGCCACGCTGCTCAGCACGCTCTCGTCCTGTCAAGTGCCTGTCCTCCCAGTGGTCATTCCTAACTGTATCCCTGCAAAACTCGAAAGTACGCTCCATGAGAGGCATTTTGTCGTCTCCAATACAATCAGGACATTGAGTAGTTTTCATAAGCATCGGAAAGAGGTTGAGTGCAGGTTCGGATGATGTTATGAGCTTCGATTTGGAGGCAGTGATGAGCTTCGGTTCGGATGCAGCGATGAACTTTAATCCTTTACCGCCGGACCGGCTGGCTTGGGCTTCTGGCCGGGCCTTGATGATTTTTCTCGGTTCTTTCTTATCGCAATAAGCTACCATCAAATGGACAACTTTAATCCTGTGCTGCAAGAGTTCCTCACCAGTCCAATCGTCGGGCTGGAGGCATAAAATTCGAGCTAGCTCAGCGCGCTCAAAGATGGTAGTGTGCATTTCTGGTTCCCGAAAATGCTCTTCCACCTCTCCCCGTGCTTGTGCGTCGAGGTCCCAGGTCGGACGATGTTGGAAATAATATTCGTGCCACCCTTTCACTATTCTTCTATCCCGTTGGGCTCTCATAAGTCGAATATCATTACCGAGCTGCCGGATTCTTTTTTCATTTGCACAACCTTCAATACGGTAGTGGCCTTGCTTGAGAGCATCACGTTCCATCTCTAATTTCACAATATCTGGGTCTGGGGGTGTGTTCTCCCATACTTCTTTAGGTACCATATTTCTTGAAGCTCGAGGGTCACGTGTCAAACTGGCATGTGCAAACATTCTGAACAGCTGGACTTGCTTCTCCTCCTCTAAGAAGGCATTCTGGAGGTCAAACTTAGCAAATTCATTAAGATAGGCGTTGAAGAATGTTGCGAACTTAGGATCATGGCGCATCATCTGATCCCGAACAGTGTCCGGAGCGTCACCTTTATAATAGAGTGGTTAACAAAGATATAAATGTTGGACTGTTCTTGTTGGCCTGAAAGAAGAACCATAAGGAGATCGACATACCATTAGCGGCGTTACCAGCACCTCTTCGAGAACTTCTTGGCGTTAACTTCTGTTCATGGCCTGTGTCAAGGCTCTGTTGCCCCATTTCTGTATTCAGCGTGGAGTACAGCATAGCCTCATTGGCAGAGAGAGCAGAGTCTCGAGTCCGACGGAATACTGGGATCTTGAGCATCTCTGGCTTCCATCGGAGCGCTATACAGTCCCTTGTGCCCCATGGACGTTTCTGGAATAGGGAGAGCGCATCGGTTATGCTCTCTGCCGCAAATGCTTTATCAGCTAGCGCTAGGGCAGCGATCGTTAGAACCACGTCGAAGATTAACTTTTTAGTGGGTGTAAAGAAGAATATAGTCCTATGATTACTTAGGTTAGTATAAAGCTGATAAGCTTAGAAAACAGAAGCTGATATTAAAAGACATACGGTTTTGGCCTTTTATCCGCTCCTTTGTGGTTCACGAACTTAATAGCCATAGCAGGAGCAACCTGCTGTGTAACAGGGTGGCGGACTATTGTAAATAGAATATCCTCGTAACAAAGAGCCTTGGGGCGGTCGCGATTAACAGGCTCTTGCAACAGCAGTTGGTTAACCTTAATAGATACCTTATCCATTACATCGTTGTTATTAGCTGACTGGATGGCCTCACTATCAAAAAGCTCTTCAAAAGAGCCGTCTGTTGGCATCTTCCGCTGGGCATCCACCAACTCGCCGGGTCGTACTCCAGTATAGCACAACAGCTGATAACATGCAGTTAGCTGGAGGCGAAGCCGCCCAAGTCCTAAACCCCCATTGTCGTATGCAATGTTAAAGGTCAAGAGAACCCGCAGTGTGTCAACATTAAGGACGGGTTTGCCATTCGTATTGGGAGGGCGGTGCCCAAACCGAGGAGCCAATTGCGTCCGATAGTACTACAAATAGCAGTCTATTAGCAACATAATTATTAAATAAATAAAACTTTAATATAGCAATAGAAATACCCTGTAAACCTCCTCGCTGTCATTTCGATTCATATATTCACCGCTGGCCAATCTATAAAGCTGCTGAAATCCGCGAATGTAGTGAAATATTGAGCCCTGAGATTTGTTGTTGTAGTTCAGGCAAATAAATGTTATAAAATCCTTTAGAGTTTCGCAATCTATATTTTTGATTGCTAACTTCTGGTCTTCAGTTTTCAACTTCTCTGTACAGTACCTGTAAAATATAATAAGTTAATTCTTCTTGGTAGGAACTGTTGTTAAAAAATATACCTCTTCCATTTCTTAGATAGAATAGCAAGATTGATTCTGGTTTCGGGTGCATGATCTGGTAGGTTGGACTTGGTAGTATATAGCAGTTCTCTATGAAATGCATGTTCTTCAGCTGTCCATACTTCTGGTCGATCAAGCCTTGCATGCTCTTTAACAGTAAATTGCTGGAGAAATTCAATATGACAATTAGGAGGGGCGTTTGCATTTGCATTGGTGTTATTAATTATTCTTGACATGTTTTATAAAGAATGTAATTATATTAGAGATTGAAGTTAGAAAGAAATAGGGAGATAAAAGCTATTATTTATAGGAAACTGTAAGTCGGGTAGTTACAAGGACTTGTAAATTGAAGCGCTTATAATTTAATTTTATTTGGTAGCTGAAAAAAATTAGGAGTAAATGAGGGGCTGTTAGTTAAGCGCTTACTGATGGGTGTGTGGGCCAAGAAAAAGCCAGCGCTTAAAAGTAACAAGTACTTGAGAATACTTATGTACCTAGTACCTGCTAGAGCTGTAAAAAACAGCAGTAAGGTATACCTAACCTGGCAGGCCTAGCAGTATTTTAAAGGTTTAAAAAGTAAACTAGGCTATAAGGAAGTATATTATTACTTTAAGAAAAAGTAAGAAAAAAATAAAAAAAGCCTTAAATAAAATAATAAAATTAATAAAGCTTAAATAGATACTATTACTAAACTATTTTACAATAGCTTTAGTTAAACTGCCTGTTATAATAATATATGCCTTATATATAAAAGCAATAAAGATAAATTAAAATATTACTTAAAAAAGCTAAAAAAAGTAAAATTTTAAAAAGAAGTTAAAATTAATACTTTAACCTTTTATAAGCTATTTAATAATAAAAATTTAAATTTTAATATAAAATTAATTTATAAATACTATAGATTTATTAATATTATTTATAAATGCAAGGGAAAATAAGCAGTAACTTAAAAAAAGAATTATAACTGCAATAACTGCTATTTATAAAACTTTAACTATAAATGCTAAGGATGCCTAGACTGCAGATCTATAGAAGGATATTAATATAATTATAAAGGTAAATAATAATAAAATATAAAAGCTAGGTATAAACTCTTTAAAGAAGAAAATAAATTAGCTAAGGAGTACCTTAAAGAATAAAAACAAAAACTCCTAGATAAAGAAATTAATAAAAATAAAATTATCTATAATAAAACTAAAAGAATTTATAAATATAGCTTCTATAAAATTAATAAAAAATACTAATAATAGATTAATACTTTTTTAAATATATACCCCTTTATAAAATATAAAAATACCTTTAAAGATATATATAATAGTAATAGCATTAATAATAATAAATATTATTAATGCAGTTCCTAGGAACTATAATATAATAAAACTTATTTAAAGTTTAATAAAAAAATATATAAATGCTTATAATATTATTTATAAAATATAAACTACTATTATAAAAAACCACAGAGGTTAAATAAATTAATTTTTTTTTATATATATTAATATAACCTTTATTACTCTTAAGACCTTAATTATAATTATAAAAGATATAATATTTATAATTTAATAAATAAAGAATATAACTATATATATATTTTAAAAATACAGGCAGAAGAAGAAAAAAAATAAAAAAAAAGATAACAGTACCTTAAAGAATATCTACTATAGAAGATAAGTTTAAAATAAAGATAAAAATAAATAAAGGCTATTAAATTAAACCTTAAAGATGCCTATACCTGCATTTTAATTTATAATATTTTTAATACTTTTAATAAAGATTATAGAAAATATTACTAAAAGGAATATAATAATATATACTATTAAATGTATATGCTTAATAAGTTAGTAGATTAGTAGAGTAAGTAATTAAAGAGAGTTAAAGTATAATACTACTTAATAAACTACTTCCTAGACTATAATATATAATACTGTAAAAAATACTATAAAAAAAAACACCAGTTTTATTAAATAACTTAAAAACTTTTATAAAAAAATTATAACTTTAATAACTACTTAAATAAAAGATAAAGAAATAAAACTTTAATTAAGAAATATTACTAATTAATTAAAGAATAAAATAATTAAATTAAATATTAATAGTATAAGAAATATTAATTTAAAATATAGTAAAAAAGCCCTTTAGATATAATTACTATTAATTTAATTAAAATATTTAAAAAAAAGCTAATAATTAATAAATATTTAAATTAATAATTAATTAAAATTTATATAAATAGTAGTTTAAATTATAATTTAATTATTAATAGCCTAGTAGACTAGCTTAGAATATTATATATTATTAAAAAGATATTATTAATTATCTTTAGTATTATAAGCATAAATATAAGAATAATTATTATCTATAAAACTAATTATCTCC